TATGCTTTCTATCCCTCCATGTCCCTCTCCTGAAAAGGCTACTGTTAGTTAGCAACAGTGGGCTTCATATAGGAAGAGGTGCTGCTCTGACAAAAGCACAATTCAAGAGTGGGAGACCAAGATTTAAACAGATGTTTCATCTTTGAGAGCTTGTGAAAATGGGGTGGCTGCCTCCTGCATACCCTCCCCCCCACTGGGTATGGAGCCTGCAACCAGGGCATGTGCCCTGACCAGGAATCGAACTGGTGACCTCCTGGTTCCTAGGTTGACACTCAACCACTGAGCTATACCAGCTGGGCTCCATGATTTTTTGGAGAGAGTGGAAGGGAGGGGAAGAGACACAGAGAGAGAAACATTGATGTGAGACAGACACATTGTTTGGTTGCCTCCCATAAGCACCCCAGTGACTCTGGAATGATCCTGCAACCAAAGTAGTATGTGCCCTAGACCAGAATCAAACTGAGGACCTTTTAGTCCATGGGCCGACTCTCCAACCACTGAGCAAAACTGGCTAGGGCCAGTATCAGTTTTGATCTCTAGGTAGTCATAAAATGAGTATTGTGTGGTAATTATTTTGGTTTTTACTTGGTTTTCTTTCAGTGGTTGTTATTTTGTTTTTGGGGACAGGAGTCTAAAAACTCCTCTGCTTGGGTGATGATATTTTTATGTTGTTCTGTTTCCAAATTCCAGGATTTTTCCCTCTGATTTCTGTCCCAGGACCTTACATGACTTTTATCTGTTGCCACTAAAACTCGTAGTTTGTGTTGAAATTTATCTTATGACAAGAATGACCCCTTCCATAACTGGAGTGTTCCAATGCTTCATAGTGAGAAAAGGCGCAAAAAGTACCTGGTGTAAAAGCCAATAGGCTGAGCTGTTGTTTCTTAAACTAGGATATTCTAGGACATTCTAAGAAACAGCCAAAACTTGATTGACCAGGATGTTCAGGGAATGGAATCCTGGTGAACTGATGTGAAGCAGTCAATCTATTTGTCATACTCCTTGTTGAAATCTTTCTAAAATTATGTGTTAACCCATATAACTGTCTTAGTAATATTAAAGATAATTTTCAGAAAAGGCAAAATCATGAGTCTCGTACAGATAGAAAAATGAACACATGTTAAAGATTTTATTTTACTCATTAATCAACAAGGGAATCAGACAGATGTTATAGATGGTTGAATGTAAAAGTCCGGAAAGCACAAATTTTTAGGGAGCAAAGGAATTAGGTTGCAAATGGAGGCAAAACTGATTTTTCCACAGTAGGGAGGGAAGTTGATCCAAACTCTATGGGACAAGACAGAGTTTGCATATCCATCAGTTACCTGCAATTTGCAGAGGTACAGAATAGCTTAAAAACAATGAACCAGGATAGAATCTGGCAGCTCCGAAAAGGTGTGTGCTATAGACCATTCATAGGGTTTTCATTGAAGTACAACAGTTTTTTTCTGTATGGTGGATACTTTTTTGGGGGTTGATTTTGCTTCTTGTAATTTTTCAGGGTTATCACCTCAATTCTCATCCAGGATTCAGTTCCATGTAACATGCATTTACTAATTACTTACTATATGTAAGACATTGCAGAGATACTAGAGACAAAAAAGATGGGCAGTATTTCTTTTTAATATATTTTATTGATATAGAGGAAGAGAGAGGGATAGAGAGTTAGAAACATCGATGAGAGGGAATCATTGATCAGCTGCCTCTTGCACACCCCCTACTGGGGATGTGCCCACAACCAAGGTACATACCCTTGCCCGGAATCAAACCCGGGATCTTTCAGTCCACAGGCCGACGCTCTACCACTGAGCCAAACCGGTCCCGGCTGGACAGTATTTCTTAACCTTAAGTAGCTGATTGCCTGGTGGCGGAGACAGACATTCCACTCCCCCAACTAACCACACTGTGGAGGAGAATAAGAATCAGGGCTGCAATAGAGGTAGGAATCAAATGCTTTGGAACCGGAGAGGGAAGAGTTAACTGACCAGGGGCTGGGGCTGAGGAGATGACATGATGACATTTAAGCTAGGCTTGAGGGTAACAGGGAGGAAGAGGATGTACAGGAGAGACCATTTTAGGGTGAGGAAACAGCAAAGTCCTGAAACTGCATGGCCTGTTCAGGGAAGGGTTAGGATGACAAGGACAGCAGGGAAATGGCAGGATGTGGCAGAGAAGACAGAGATTTGAGGCTAAGCCATGGAGGGTCCTGAATGCTGTGCTAAGAAACACAAGCTTGCTTCTGAAGACAGAGGAAAGCTATTGAAAGCTTTTGAGGAGGGAGGGGATGACGGGATCGAACTGGTGCCTTAGAAGATGAATTGATTGTAGAATCAAGAGATTGAAGACAGAGGGACCAGTTTAGAGGCTATTGTAATATTCTGGGTGAAAGATGATGAGGACCTGTATCTGGGTAGTGGCCAGAGGGGTAGGAGAGGATGGAGATGGCATGATTTAGGTTTGGCTCCTGATTGGATGTGGGCAATAAGAGAGAGAATGAGTTGGAGATGAGGAAGGTGCTGAAAATTCCAGGCTAGGAGATTGTGGTGCTATTGACTAAGAGACGAAACACACTGGGCGTGGGGGTGGGGAGCAGATTTATGGGAACAGATAATGAGTTCAGTTTGAGACACATTGAGTTTGAGGGGCTCTGTGGACATCCAATTAACAGCAAGTTGTTGGCAGCTGGAAATTCTGGTCTGGGTCTAAGAAGAGAGGTCAGGGCTACAGGTATAGATCTGGTTGAGTTGCAACTGTGGGAGCTCATGAGCTGAGAGACAAGAAGGGGCGGGGCTCACACACACACACACACACACACACACACACACACACACACACACACACACACACTGAGGGAGAGAGGTGGGGGTAGCGGAGAGCCAGCGGGAGCCAGACAGACTAGAGGAGGATAAGAGAGGAAGACTGCAGGGTGAGATGTGAGGAAGGAGAGTGGGGGGTGAAGGAAGGAGGGGAAGTGGGAGGAGAGAGTGGAGCCTGAGGGAAAAAGAGGAAAGTGAGATAAAGGAGGGAAAGGACTAGGGGCTTAGAGAGGCAGGAAAGGAGAGGATGTTGGAGGAAAAAGGGATTGTGCCAGAGAGACATAGGAAACAGGGAAAAGGGAAGCGGGGAAGAGGGAGAGAGAGAGAGAGAGAGAGATTGTTGGGAGAATATGAGGGGGGGGGGAGGAAGGAAAGTGATGAAGAATAGAGGGAAATAGAGAGATTTAGGGGGAAAGGAAAAAGATGTGTGGGGATAGGAAGAGAAAAAGGGAAGGAAGGGGAAGAGATGGGACAGGGTGGTAGAGGTGAGGAGAGAATGAGCATGATAAGGGCCAGATTTCTGGGGTGGGTAGAGATAGAGAAGGGCCCGATAGAAGGCAGCAGGCAGAGTCAGAACAGCTAGGAGAGGGCCAACTACAGGGAAAGGTGAAGGCATCAGTAGCCTATGCTGCAGAGAAAGGGAGTTAGGAGAGGACCAAGAAGAGAACAAAAGTGTGTAGCTCTGCTTACCCCTCACTGCCTCTTTCCCTTCGCTCACTTCCGGTGTGCCAGACTGGTCTCCTGGCTCTGCCTTGATTTTAGCAGGCAGCCTTAAGCCTTAGGACGTACGCATAGGTTGTTCCCTTTTCCGTGGAATGCTCTTCCGCTAGATAGCTGCATGGGTCCCTTTGCTTCCTTTAAGATGTTGAAATGTCTTCTTCTCAGCAAGATCTACCCTGATCACCCACTTTCAAGTTGCAGCCCATTCTGCCTTCCACTTCTGACCATCGCCATGCCCTGTTATGCTCCTTCTAACACCACAATACATATAGAATCATTTAATGTGTTTATTGTCTGTCTCATCTCACTAGAATATAAACTCAATGGAGATGGGGTTGTTGGTTAATTGTTGAATCCCCATTACCTAGGACAATGCTGGCACATAGTAGGAGCTCAATAAGTATTTCTTGAATGAATAGTATAATTGTGTTGAATATGAGCAATCTCTGAAAATTGTTTAAAGAATAATTAAACAAATCCCTAATTTGACTATGAGTTGCTTCTTTGGAAGTGGAGAATAGCATAAAATTCTGGTCACTGTAGGGTTTTGTTCAATTGAACCTTGCTGAATAAGGCTTTTGGCTAATAAGTCAAGAGTTTAAGGGTCTCAAGATAAGCTTATTGGGTAAATCTCTTTTTTGATGCCTCATTTTCTCTAGAAAGTGATTGGCTGTGCGGTAGTTGTTAACAGTAAGAGAGAGCTGGACATTGGCTGGTGAAGGGGGTGGTATGTCATGGGGGTGACAGACTGAAGGAACAAGGATAGAAATGTGTGGTTCTTGATGGAACATCGTTGTTTGCTTTGCTTCTTTGTGGTCACAGTACAAGGAGTATTGCATCTGATTGGAGGAAGCTTTAAAGCAGGTTAGATATATGCATCATCTTGGTATAACTCCCAACTTGAAATCAGAATAGAGTATTTTTGAAGGACTTATAATGAAAGCGTGTGCTTCCTCTGGAGAGCTTAAATTGGCTACGTCACTCAAATACTTCAGTACCCATGGATTAGAATTGACGAGAAAAAGATCCCCAGTAGTCTTTCACTGTTCGCGTATGGGAATGGCCCTCTAATTGTAGTTGGTTAGGCTAAACGTGTGTAGAAAAATATACTGTCATTTCATTTGTCTGAAATAGATTGAATTTCCTTGAACACTCAAGCATATCTGTCTTTATGATAATTTAAAAATCACTCTAGGTGATTAACAGCATCCTCATCTCCATCCTGAAACCTATGGATTCCTGAAAAGCTGGTGCTCCCTCATCTCCATTTGGACCTTAATTTCCCATGGTAGGCTGGCTTATGAGAGAGACTGCTTTAACATCTGGGTGCTATAATTACCTTTATTTAAGTGTTTCCTTGTTAAAGGTGGTTAAGCAGGTGGTTACAAGTTTTGATTTTTGGGGGATTCTTTTTCCTCAGGGGAAGTGGCCACAGCAGGTCCTATCTGGTGGTGAGTGGCTGTCATGATCTCTACAGCACCGCTCTACAGCGGCGTACACAACTGGACCAGTTCTGACCGGATTCGCATGTGCGGTATCAACGAGGAGAGGTGAGGAGGCTGGGAAGGTGGCTGTTGCCGGCTTCCAGTGAGCGGTGCCTACTCACCAGGGGGTTAGCCGCAGCAGGGACTGGGGAGGGACCCTGGGGATGTGGCTGGTAGTCATTTCTCATTTTCCTGAGATAGGACGGGCCTAGGATGTGTGAGTGGCCTGCTGCCTTGCCATTCCTGTTCAGATGAAGGTGAGGATGCCAGCAGATAACTTCACCAACTAGTATTTGTCTATACATTAAAAGCTGTCATGTCCTAGCTGGTTTGGCTAAGTGGATAGAGAGTCAGCCTGCGGACTGAAGGGTCCTGGGTTCAATTCAGGTCAAGGGCGCATGCCCAGGTTGCAAGCTCTATTCCCAGTAGGGGGTGTGCAGGAGGCAGCCGATCAATGATTTTCTCATCATTGATGTTTCTTTCTCTCTCCCTCTCCTTTACTCTCTAAATCAATAAAAATATATATATATTTTTTTAAAAAGAACTGTCAGATGGTGGAATAAGGGGAAGCTCAGGCAATTACAGTTTTTATTTGCTGCATCCACGTTTGGTGCTCAGGAATGCATACGACATTTTTGACCCTTGATATAAGCCTGGAAGAAAGGCAGTTCTATCACTGAGCTTTATACTGGGCACTGTTAGTAGGTGTTCTGCTAACCAGTGCTTTCCTGCCTCACAAAATTAATGATTCACAGTAGGATCCTTATCTTCATAAAGGAGATCAAACTGCTTAACATAGTTTTTATACGAAATTGAGAGTTGGTGGTGCCTGCTGGATCTGGGTGTGTGTTCAGTTTTCTGTACACCAGAATATTTCATTGACTAACCTATGTCATTTTCTGTATGAAGAACACCCAAAGTGGTCTGCAGATTTTATATTTGACTTTCATAACTCTTGGTCAGAGCTGTGTATGATGGTTACAATGCCTCTCCCATTTTTAGAGAAGGCATGGCTCCCCCATGCTTGCTGGTGTTTCCTGGTTGTTTCAATCTGTCGCCTGTTTACAATTGATCAATCACCTAAAACATACCGTAGAACAATATGGCTTTTCCTAAAATTCAAGATCTGACGTTTTCCTTGGATAAATCTTAGAAGTGTGTGAATGGGTATGTGTCTATATGGGGAGAGTGTTGGCAGTTTTGAAGGGAAAAGAAATGGACATCTTTATGTGGATCTTTCTTTTTCTGTTGTTAACTGGAGAAGTGTGTACTTGTCTGAGGTTCCGGTTAGGAGACTAGACCTTTTTTTATTTTTTTAAAAAGCCATCAACACCTGGCAGCCTAATGTTCTTTATACTGGAAATTAGAGATGGACTTAAAAGGAATTTAATTTTAGAATATGAAAGTCAAGACCAAGGAAAATAAGACAAAATTCTTCTCAGAGATGCTAAGAAAGGTATTTTCCTTTGCATATGAGGTATGGCCTTAGATAATTATTATGGGATGGTCTGGGGAAGGCAGGGTAGTGCTATTGATTTGTGTAAGTATTCATTGGCAACTAGTTGTAAGTGGTTGAGACTTTGATACAGAGATCTGGACTAGAGCCTTCAAAAATATCAATGTATAAGTTACTTTCCTTCACTGTCCATTCTAAATGCCTTCTGAGAAAGGAGCAGGAAGTGGGCCTCAAACCTGATTTTCCTCTTTATGGACCTTTCTTGGGATGTTATATTACCAAATATGCCTAGGAGTTAAGAGGACGTTTTAAGCATTGTCACTTCTGATTTCATCTACCCGTTATTGTCACCTTTCCACTGCATTCTAGGCCATGCTATAGCTGATTTCCAAAATGTGATCTCACCTTATTTAAAAGCCATTTCTTCAGCCCTTTACAACTTGTGGAACTTAGACATCTTGGGTATAATGCTGCACCTGTGGCTTAACTCTTTTTATTTTAATATATATTTTTATTGATTTCAGAGAGAAAGGGAGTGGGGGAGAGAGGGAGAGATAGAAACATCAATGATGAGAGAGAATCATTGATCAGCTGCCTCCTGCACGCCCCACACTGGAGATCGAGCCTGCAACCCCAGCATGTGCGCTGACTGGGAATCAAACCGTGATCTCCTGGTTCATAGGTCGACAATCAACCACTGAACCACGTCGGCCGGACTGTGGCTTAACTTTTAAAGTTATGTTTGGGAAGCCTGTCCAGCTTCATCAGATATAGTGATGGCTGCAGGGACAGTGGGCAGGGGCTTTCTCCTGGCCCCAGGTGGTTGACTGTAGTAAAACCTCCAGCTAAAGCTCTCTGCTTGCTTGCTTGCTTCCTTTTTGCACCCATTCATTCCTGCATTCAACAAACATTCATTAAACCCATTGAGAGCAAATGAGTCATCATGAGACATACGTAGTGAGTGCTATAGAGAGACAGATACAGGTCCTGTGGGAGTCTATGTGCAAGATTGATAAACGTCCTCGAGGAATAAAAAAAGGGAAGGTTTCCCAGAGGCAGTAGCATTGGAGTTGGGGTTTGAGGGATGAGTAGAAGTTTGAGGTGAGGGTTGTTGACCTTTCCCATGTGGTGTGTTTGGGGAAGACCATGTGTGGAATGAAGGTGGTCTTGGGATGTGGTGGGACTGAAGCAGGGAATGTCTGCAGGAGCTGGGAGAGTAGGAGCCTGGTGTGTGTCATGTAGTCAGGGAACTATAAAAGACCTGGTCTGACAGGGGTGCTAGCCCTTAATAATTAGGAAAATGGCCTGGAAAGGCTGTGGCCACTTCTTAAGTTCAACAAAGCCTTGAGCGTAACAGGGTCATCGCTGTTGGGAAGAAATTGCGGGATTGATTTTCCGTCCTGATTGAAGCCTGCTTTGACCCCTGCTCCCTCCTTCTGGCCATCTGAACCCTCCTAACCTTGCCTCGTTGACCCAGCTCTCCGGTTTTCCCTCTCCCCTGCAAGCTATTCCTATCCCAGGTTCTCTCAATGGAGCAATTTAATGTTTGCTTAGCCTTGCACACCCCTCTTCTCAGAGGATTTGAGATGTGGCCTCACGACATTTTCCCAGAGCCTCGGGGGCTGGCACTCAGGCATGGGATGGCTGGAATAGCCAGGACTGCTGCTCCTGCTGCCACTGCTGACTCTACCTCGTGTCTCTGGGCTGGCAGCTGGGTCTGTACTCTCTGGTGGAGGGCAGGGTTTCTGCTTTCAAAATGATTTGATGCCAGGTGGAAGCTGAGCAAGGGGGAGAGGGGTGTCGAGTACATATCCAGCTCCCCTTTGCATGGTCAGGAGGGGAAATAATATAAATAAATAGCATTTTTCCTCTGCAGTCCTTCATGTGGATTTGGTGAACAGGGGGCACTGCCGCTTAGTTTTCCTTGTCACACACACACCCAAACCAACCTTGGCAAATCTGGTCAGGACACGCTTCTCCTCTCATTCCAAGGCTGGAGGATAAGTCTTGTGTTTTGGGTCTCAGGAGTTGATGTCAAAGTATGTTTTCCCTTTTCCTCAGGCCCCCTTTTGCCCCTTTTGTAAGACCCCTGACTGCATTTGTAGCCCTTGCTTCTCCTTACTATCATTCCTGTTTGTCATCAACAGTCATTGCCAGCAATGGGACCCTCTCATTTCCACCAGCTTAGCTTAAGGTGACCAGACGTCCTGCTTTTGGCGGGACAGTCCCGATTTTTAACAATTTGTCCTGTGTCCTGTGACATTTTTAAAAAGTCCCAATTTTTAAAACGCCAAGGGACACGGGACAAATTGTTAAAAATCGGGTCTAGTCACCTTAGCTTAGCTGCCTTTTAAAGGGAACAGTCCACCCCTGCCCCCCCATTGCCACTTCTGGGGTCCTGAAAAGATGGGGAGAGGCTGTAGTGAACCCCTTGCCTTGCCTTTTTGCTTCTCTTGTCCCAGGTATAAGTTTGGAGTCCATCCATGGTGCCCTGTTCTAGTGAAAGGGAGGAAGTAAGCACAGCCCTCCTCTTCTCGTGGACTTGACTGCAGGTGCCCTCAGCGCTCTTTGGCTAGGATGATGGAGAGGCGGGCACTAGCTACTTTGGGAGCTCAGAGTGAGGGCTCTGAAGAAGGGATCCAAAAAATCTAGGCAATCTACCTCCCCAGAGGCGCATAGAGTTCCAGTCTTTTGCTCCATAGGAACCACAGCGGGCACTTCTGCTGAAACTTTGTTCTTGCACCCGAACCTCCCACTCAGCCCCCTGAACCATGGCTGCTGCTCTGTTGTGTCTTCCCTAGGGCAGGCAGTGGTACGCTCTTTCTGTGGTCAAACCACCAAACTTCCAATGGGTGTTTTCTCTTTAACTTCACCTTCCCAGTCTGAACTTCCTTTCTTTTTCTTTTCTTTTCTTTTTTTTTTTTTTTTTTTTGGTCAGGATATACCATTTTCTAAGGTTCTTATCTGAAATGTAGAGAAGATTTTTGAGCAGGTGGGATGGTACAGTTAAGTTTTCCTCCTTTGGGACCCAGGTCTCTGGCCTTGAGCCTTTCTCCCTGTGGTCTACCAATTTGAATTTGGAGTCTGTGGCTTTAAAGGCCTTGCTTTGGGATGGGAGAGAAGGCGGTGGTTCTGCGAGATCAAGGAGAGAGTGGAGAGTTGGCAGGGGAGAAAGGCAGGAGGAAGGGGCTGGCTAGAGTTCCGTGCTACTCTACAAGGTGGGAAGTGGTACCCTGGAGGGAAAGAAATTATACCCTTGAAATGCCCTTCAGCACCCAGTGACCTGGTGGCCTCCAATAAGTATCATTACATGTAATAAGCATGGATCCGCTCTAGGCAACCCCATCGGGTGACTGGGTTATGAGTCATATTTAGAACATGAAATAGTGGAGGTGGTTATTTGTTTTAGGGAAGGATTACCCTTGTGGTACCTTTATAGACTTAAAATAAGATTGCATTTAAGAGAAAAGCCCAGTTTGCATGCCTTTTGACAGCTTCCATGACTCACCTCTCCCCTTTTTGGCAATGCCCAGTAACTCACCTTGATGGGTAAGCTCTGGAGACAAGGAAAGGTGCTGGGGTGACTTTTACACTCTTGCTGAGAGCCCTAGAAAACAGCATACACGACCCAAAGAGGGGAATCTATAGACATCAGACCGGGCTCCTTTGCAAGAATTTGCAAAGCTGGGTTGGGAGGCTCTGGTTTATAACCTGGAGCCTCCAGTTCCTTGTGATTTTCGCCAAGCCAGCAAGGGAAGCAAGGCCAGGAAGGTTTATGGGAGCCCAGGCAGGCAGAGGCATTCTGGGAAAGATGGCCGGAGCCCAAAGACGAGGCCTCATGTTCCTTCTCTGGTTGTGTCTCCCATGCTAGAAGAGCACCTATTTCTGATGAGGAGTCCACGACAGGTGACTGCCAGCACTTTGGATCTCAGGAGTTTTGTGTCAGCAGCAGTTTTTCCAAGGTAAGGGGCCATGTGGAGCCACATGCCACCCGCCGAAGGGTGGAGCTAAACTGCCCAGGCAATGTGCCCAGCCTGTCATCCTCAGAAGAGGGGCAGGAAGGGACAGGGTATTTCCCAGGAGCTGCTGTGTGTGAGACAGAAATTGGCCAGCTGCTCTTTGCTTCTACCGAGACCCTGTTGGTCAAGTTGCAAAAAGGACCAGCCATCGCCTTGCCCAGGCCTTGAGATACTTGAGCCCTCCACAGAGAACTACTAAGATGGGCACGTTGCTCTGTCGTTGCAGGTGGAGCTCACAGCAGTTGGAAGTGGCAGCAATGCCCGGGGGGCAGATGCAGATGGCAGTGCAACAGAAAAACTTGGGCACAAGTCAGAAGACAAGCCCAACAGCCCCCAGCCAAAAATGGACTGTGCTGGGAATGTGGCAGAGGCCGAGGGCCTTTTGGTTCCCCTGAGTGGCCCGGAAGACGGGCTCAAGCTTCCCCCTACCGACAGCGCCGAGGCCGGTGGTGGCGGCAGCAGCAGGCCCGACTGCTCCTGGATCCCCCTCAGCACGCAAATGAGCAAACAGGTGGACTGCTCGCCTGCTGGGGTAAAGGCTTTGGACTCTCGGCATGGTGTTGGGGAGAAAAATACTTTCATTTTGGCAACTCTGGGAACTGGAGTGCCCGTGGAGGGAACCCTGCCTCTGGTTACCACTAATTTCAGTCCGCTGCCAGCACCCATCTGCCCCCCTGCTCCCAGTTCTGCCTCCGTCCCCCCATCTGTTCCCGATCACTTCCAGGTTCCCCTCTCTGTCCCCGCCCCAGTGCCCCATTCAGGGCTAGTTCCTGTCCAGGTTGCCACTTCGGTCGCAGCTCCTTCCCCTCCCTTAGCACCAGTCCCAGCCCTGGCTCAGGCGCCACCATCAGTGCCCACACTCATCTCTGATTCGAACACCCTCTCAGTTTCAGCCTCAGTCTTGGTGCCTGTGCCGGCTTCTGCTCCCCCTTCAGGCCCCGTTTCCCTGCCGGCTCCAGCCCCTTCCCCCATGTCAGTCTCAGTTTCAGCTCCTTCGTTGACCTTGATCCAGGCTCCTGTGCCCCCTTCTGCTCCGACCCTGGTCCTTGCGCCGGTCCCTACTCCAGTTCTGGCTCCCATGCCGGCATCCACACCTCCAGCAGCTCCGGGCCCTCCATCAGTGCCCATGGCCACTCCAACCCCATCCTCTGGCCCACCTTCCACCCCTACCCTCATCCCCGCCTTTGCTCCTACACCAGTGCCTGCACCTACCCCAGCCCCAATCTTTACTCCAGCTCCTACACCCATGCCGGCTGCCACGCCAACTGCCATTCCCACGTCTGCACCCATCCCGGCCTCCTTTAGTTTGAGTAGAGTGTGTTTTCCTGCAGCTCAGGCACCAGCTATGCAAAAAGTCCCTCTGTCTTTTCAGCCAGGGACAGTACTGACACCGAGCCAGCCACTGGTATATATCCCACCTCCGAGCTGTGGGCAGCCACTCAGTGTGGCTACACTGCCAACCACTCTGGGGGTCTCCTCCACTCTTACACTCCCTGTCCTACCATCCTACCTACAGGACAGGTGTATCCCTGGCGTGCTGGCCTCCCCAGAGCTCCGGTCTTACCCATATGCATTTTCTGTAGCCCGGCCTCTGACTTCAGATTCCAAGGTGGTCTCTCTGGAGGTGAACAGGCTTCCGTGTGCTTCCCCATCCAGCAGCACCAGCACCCAGTCTGCGCCTGATGGGGCCCCCAGGCCTTTGGCAGATACTTCCCTCTCTACTGCTTCTGCCAAGGTGCTTCCAACGCCACAGCCTTTGCTGCCAGCCCCCAGTGTGAGCTCAGCCCCACCGCACCCCGCCAAGATGACAGGTGGCACTGAGCAGCAAGCGGAAGGGACATCCGTGACCTTCTCTCCCCTCAAGTCACCTCCGCAGCTGGAGCGAGAGATGGCCTCTCCATCTGAGTGCAGCGAGATGCCCCTCGACCTCTCGTCTAAGTCCAACCGCCAGAAGCTTCCATTGCCGAACCAACGCAAGACACCTCCCATGCCCGTGCTGACCCCTGTGCACACCAGCAGCAAGGCCCTCCTCTCCACGGTCCTCTCTAGGTCTCAGCGTACGACCCAGGCTGCCGGCAGCAACGTCACCTCATGCCTGGGCTCCACTGCCTCGCCCTTCGTCATCTTTCCTGACATAGTGAGGAACGGGGACCCGAGCACCTGGGTGAAGAACTCAACCGCGCTGATCAGCACCATTCCTGGCACCTATGTGGGAGTGGCCAACCCAGTGCCTGCTTCCCTGCTGCTGAACAAAGAGCCCAACCTGGGCCTCAATCGAGACCCCCGCCATCTCCCCAAGCAGGAGCCCATCTCCATCATCGATCAAGGCGAGCCTAAGAGCACCAGTGCCTCCTGTGGCAAGAAGGGAAGCCAGGCTGGGACTGAAGGACAGCCAAGCACAGTCAAACGTTACACCCCAGCCCGCATTGCCCCAGGGCTGCCGGGCTGCCAAAGCAAGGAGCTCTCTCTGTGGAAGCCCACGGGGCCAGCAAATATTTACCCGCGGTGTTCGGTCAATGGGAAGCCCACCAGCACCCAGGTCCTGCCTGTTGGCTGGCCATCATACCACCAAACATCTCTGCTTTCCATTGGCATATCCAGTGCCGGGCAGCTGACCCCCAGTCAGGGGGTGCCCATCAGGCCCGCCAGCGTTGTTTCCGAGTTCTCTGGTGTGTCATCTGTTGGCCCCAGTGAAGCAGTGCACGGACTTCCTGAGGGGCAGCCGCGGCCTGGGGGTCCCTTTGCTCCAGAGCAGGACACTGGCACGAAGAACAAAACTTGCCGGATCGCTGCCAAGCCTTATGAAGAACAAGTCAACCCTGTCCTTCTGACTCTCAGCCCTCAGACGGGGACTCTAGCGCTGTCTGTTCAGCCTAGCAGTGGGGACATAAGAGTGAGTCAGGGGCCAGAGGAATCCGAGAGCCACCTCTGCTCTGATGGCACTCCTAAGACAGAAGGCCCCCAGGGGACTTGTGGCCTGAAGCTGGCAGGAGACACAAAACCTAAGAACCAAGTGCTGGCCACCTACATGTCTCATGAGCTGGTCCTGGCCACCCCCCAGAACCTGCGCAAGATGCCTGAGCTGCCTTTGCTACCTCATGACAGCCGCCCTAAGGAACTCATCTTGGACGTGGTCCCAAGTGGCAAGAGGGGCTCCAGCACAGAGCTTCCACAGCTTGGAAGCCAGGTGGACCTGGGGCGGGTGAAAATGGAGAAGGTGGACGGTGATGTGGTCTTCAATTTAGCCACCTGCTTCCGGTCGGATGGCCTCCCAGCAACTCCCCAGAGGAGTCAAGTCGAAGTTCGGAGTAAGGCTGCACAGACTCGAGTAAAACAGGAAAGCGTAGGGGTCTTTGCTTGCAAGAACAAGTGGCAGCCAGACTCAGTGGTGACCGATGGGGTGACCGAATCTCTGCCGTCTAAGAAAATGAAATGTGGCAAAGAGAAGGATGGTGAGGAGCAGCAGCCACAGGCAAAGGTCATAGCCCGGAGTTCTCATGGACCCAAGGTGAGTATTGGACTGAGGTTGAGAGTTGAGGGCAGGGCTGAGACACCAGTGGCCTGTTTTGTCCTGCAGGTGTCAACCTTGTTTAACCGTGACAGGATTCTTGAGTAGCTCTGTGACCTGAACTAATTGGAAGGCTTGTATAGAGTGAATAATCTGCTGTCCCCTTTCTAACTCACATTCTCCATATATGGTGCTCTAGCATGGGGAGGGGCTCTATTTTGTAGGATGTGGGAAATGATTTGGTCCCTGAGGTGAGGGAAGCCATTGTCTCAGATGAGGTTGGAAAGCGGAAGAAGGTATTGGCGAGGAAAATCAATAACAGGCCCTTCCCAGTAAAACCATTCTTCCTTTTCCTTTTCCGAGATGACCTCTGGCCTTGAGAACTTGGAGCCGAGGGAGGGAAGGGGGCTTTGACAGATTGTTGTCTCAACCACTTGGGAGCCTGCTCAGGATTTGCTTGGAGTTTAGTGGGGCTAGAGCCAATTTGGCTTCTGGGCTCATCCACCAGTTTTCTACCCCCTCCCAATGCTTAGGGTGGTAGTATTGGGGCTCTGCCCATTGGAAATTTGGTGTGCAAGGCAAGTGACATTTGGGCCTGGATTCTTTTTTTAATATATATATATTTTTTTATTGATTTTAGGGAAGAAGGGGGAGGGAGAGAGAGATAGAAACATCAATGATGAGAGAGAATCATTGATCAGCTGCTTCCTGCATGCCCTACACTGGGGATTGAGCCCCCACAACCTGGGCATGTTCTCTGACCGGGAGTTGAACCATACCTCCTGGTTCATAGGTCCATGCTTAACCACTGGGCCATGCCAGCTAGGCTGGGCCTGGATTCTTTTTTTTTTTTTTTTTTTTTAATATATATTGATTTTTTACAGAGAGGAAAAGAGAGGGATAGAGAGTTAGAAACATCGATGAGAGAGAAACATCGATCAGCTGCCTCCTGCACACCCCCCACTGGAGATGTGCCCGTAACCAAGATACATGCCCTTGACCGGAATCGAACCTGGGACCTTTCAGTCCACAGGCTGACGCTCTATCCACTGAGCCAAACCGGTTTCGGCAGGGCCTGGATTCTTAATAGGTTAAGGATGGTTGCAGGGTTCTAGGCAAAAAGGTGGGCCAAGAGGATTGGACTTAAATCCAGTGGTGCTCTAGAGGTAATCCAAAGGCCATTGGTGACCCAAGGAGATTCTTGAAGCAGTTGAGGGATAGGGCTCATTCAGAATATGGAGCAATTTGAAGTTATGTTAACAAGCGTTCAGATTGGATGTTGATATACATACATGAATAGATTTGCAGTCAGAGCATCATGAATTTGTTTGTGGCAGGAGCTTTTAGTGTTTTTGGACTATAGAGTGCTTTGAGAAGTGATGAGAGCTATAGAGCCTGTTCCAGAAACATGACTTCAGAATTTTGACAATAATTTCAAGGGGTTCATGGACATACCCCTTCCCAAACCCACTTATGTTAAGAATTCTGGGTATAGAATTTGGTTGAGTTTTGCTCAGTGACCTTACAACCACCTCTGTATGGCAGAGACATTCCAAGTAGGAACATAGGATATGACATAGTAGAGCATTTGCTCAGGTAATTGTGATCTGCCCTTAGGGGTAATAATAATAATAATAATCCTATATAATAAAAGTGTAGTATGCAAATTGTCCCCTTGACCGGGAGTTGTTGGGAGTTTGACCAGGGGGCAGGGCCGACCAGGAGAAGGGAGAGAGGCCATGGCCAGCAGCCACTAGGGACCCTACCAGTGCACAAATTTTGTGCACTGGTCCTCTAATAATAACAATAATAATAAATCCATGTCATTATTAGTTATTACCATTTGTTGAACTCCTACTATATACTATGAGCTTCCTATATATGTTATCTAACTTAATCTTTAAAATAACAAAATGAGGTAAACACTACACTCATTTTACAGATAAAAAAGTAAATAAAACAGACTAAGTGGGTAAGCTACCCAAAGTTACCCAGCTACTAAATAGCAGAGCCGGAATTCAAACTTAGTTCTCATTGGCTCCGAAGTTCACATTCATCTCAGCTATACCATAAGTGTCATTCACCCTCATGCACAGCTGTTTCACTGACCACTTAGCAAGTGTTTGTTGAGGAGCTCCTACATGCCAGTCCCTCCCAAGCAGTGGGGATACATTGTCAGGAGGGAGGTGTAGCATTTTGTTGAGTGTGATCTCTGGAGCCAGGCACAGTGCCTGAGTTTGAATCTTGGCCCTACTTAGCTGAGTGATGTTAGTCAAGTTACTTAAGCTCTCTGGCTCTCAGTTTTCTCATCTATACAATGAGACAATGATATTGCCTACTCTAAAAAAAAAAATAATAGTGCCTACTCATAGGGCTGTGTAAAGATGAAAGGAGATGATGATGTGAAATGTCCAGAATAGGCAGGTCAGTAGAGACAAAAGTAGATCAGTGGTTGCCTCAGGTTGGTAGGGGATGGGAATTTGGGGAGTGATGGCTTCATGAGTATCAGGCTTCCATTTGGGGTGATAAAAAGTTCTGGAACTTGATAGCAATGATGGTAACACAACTCTGTGACTGTTAAAAACAATTGAATTATATGGTTTATCTCAACAAATTATATGTCAACAAAGCTGGTCAAAAAAAGATTAAATGAGGTGATATACATAAATGCTGAGAACAATGCCTGGCACATAGTGAGTAAGTGATGGCGGTCACTGTTATTATTGTTAGTATTGCTAACAAAATAGATGTGCTGTCTGATCTCATGGAGCTTATGTCTTGCAGATGACTCAATGACAGGCGAGGCACTGCCTATTCCTATCTTGGATGGACAGTTCACTGGGCCCACTGACAGATGCAGAGGCCAGAGAGTAAAGTTACAGGCTTAGGGGCCTTGAGGCAGTGCTTAGCAATGGCCTTAATGACTTAATAAGTGCACATTTTTCAGGAGAGCAAATAACTTTGAACTTTCTTTTCTTATATTCCATCTTCCTGAGGGGCGGAGGGGGGGGGAATTGATAAGCAAACTATGATCAGAAGTTAATTTAAAACAGCCCCTTTCAGGGCATGGCCAAGAATCAGAAGAGTCACCTGTATCCAACTCCACCTGCCACAGGGCCTTGCAGAACCCTGAAGAGCCTTTTGAATCATCAGAAAAGAATGAGTTCTGCTTCATCTGGCTCTGAGTGTATCTGTCTTCTCATCCCTTATAAAACTTCTTGGGAAAACCTTTCAAAACCCTGCTCGCTGGCCGAAACCGGTTTGGCTTAGTGGATAGAGCGTTGGTCTGCGGACTGAAGGGTCCCAGGACCAATTCCAGTCAAGTGCATGTACCTTAGTTGCGGGCACATCCCCTGTGGGTGGGGGGGTGCAGGAGGCGGCTGATCAATGTTTCTACCTCATTGATGTTTCTAGCTCTCTATCCCTCTCCCTTCCTCTCTGTAAAAAAAAAAAAAATCAATAAAATATATTAAAAAAAACAAAACTTCTGGTCACTGGAACGTTCATCTTACATGGTGGCCCCTCCCTCCCAACTTTTTGCCTAAGTTGGAGTACACAATATATTTTTACTCTTAGTGCTGCCCCTGCAGAAGGTACAGACAGACATCCCTTCTATATGTTGTACTCGTTATTGTCTGTTTTAGTAAGTAAAAGTTAATGATCTGTACTTGAAAGAGCCAGCTGAAAAACGATATTCAGAAATAAGTAGGACATGTTCAGATTTAAATGCATGGAACTTCCCCCCCCCCACCCTGGACTTAAAATAGTTTTTCTCTGGCCACACCCAAAGGTCAGATTTTAAGCAGTGGTCCCCATCTCCTTTCATCCTCAATTATTTTCTTCTCCTAACACGTTAGATTGTAGGAACTGGCAGCAAGCAGAGGGAGGAGCTGAACTTGAATATTCAGCTGAATAAGAAGCAGGCGGTGTTCATGGGTTAGTAGGAGTCCCTGGAATTTGATGGGGAATGGCAACTTCCCTGTCCCTGGAGAATTGAGATCCCCATTTCCATGGAAAATGTTCCATCGATAAGATAACTGCCACCCCCTTAGCGGGAGCTAGACAGTGATAACCTTCTAGATGGTGGTGTATAGGTCTGCTTAGGGCAGTGGTTCTCAACCTTTCTAAGGTCACGACCCTTTAATACAGTGACCCCCCCAACCATAAAATTATTTTCGTTGCTACTTCATAACTGTAATTTTGCTACTGTTATGAATCGTAATGTAAATATCTGTGTTTTCTGATGGGCTTAGGCAATCCTGCTAACGGTTCTCAACCTGTGGGTCTCAACCCACAGGTTGAGAACCGCTGCTGAAGAGTCTAAGACCATCGGAAAACACAGATATTTACATTACTACTCATTAACAGTAGCAAAATTACAGTTATGAAGTAGCAACGAAAATAATTTTATGGTTGGGGGGTCACCATAACATGAGGAACTGTCGCGGCATTAGAAAGGCTGAGAACCACTGGCTTAGGGGGAAAGAACATTCTTCCTATGGCTTGCTTTGTTAAGACATTTTGCTTATTCTGCATTCCCTGGATACAAGATACTGAAAATCCTTACCCTGTCCTATTTCTTATTTGGTGGAATGAAGAGACCTTGGAGCTTGTGAGAATATGTGACTATTAGGCTGAGAGTGTCCTTAAACAGTGCCTGTCTGATGTATTGAACAGGAGGTGTGAGTTGGGTTGAGCAAAACAGTCGAGGACACAAGTAGGGAAATAGAAGAATGAGAGCTGATGCAAAGAGGCCCAGTATGGGAGCCAGGAGCACTGATCCTAGCTGCCACTCTGTCACTGCAAGCGCAAACATGCTAACTTGCCAGGTTTGCCTGGTAAGTGGCAGCCCCTGAGTGAGCATATGCTGTGGGTTATGTGTTGCACTGGACTAATCATTTAACTTACTATCTTGGAACCTCAGTTAACTTGTCTTTTTAATGGGGATGATTTTAGCTTCCCTCTCAGGGTTGTTGGGAAGATCAAATCAAATAATAAAGAGGAGAGTATTTTGAAAACTTGAAAGTGCTACAAAGTATAAAGTGACTTTATGAAACATGCCTTTCATAAGTGTGGGGAGATTTGGATTGCTCCTGTGTCAGGCTTTTCTATTTGTTTCAGTTGAATTTGTTCTCAGGTATTAATTTGCACGTGAAAATAGATCGTTTTTCTTGAGTTGGCCTGCATAGTGAATTATTTTCAATTGTTGGTGTCAATACCATTCACAGTGAAGTTAGGTGAACAATATAGTCACCGAGCTTGCAGAAGAGGCATTTTTGTTTTCTGCCTGTCTCTCTACTGCTGTTTGGATATAGAGAGTACGGGGCCTGATTTTGTACCTTTTAAAATGACTTTGGGTGTTTATTTAGCATGTGAATGCAGACTCCGTAGACATGTTTAAAATGATGGGATGTAGATGTTTATTAGGATTAGCTAGGGCACAGGTTAAAGTACAAAAAAACCCAAAAACCTCTGCATCCAGCTGGGGAAGGCAGCCAGTGGTCCCTTTCCCTGGCCCCCACCTGGGATCCATGTGTCAGAATCGGGGCACAGGACTCAATATTAGGAGAGCTTTCTTAAAGAAGGGAAACTGACCTCAGACCTAACCTTCTCTACCTCTCCACAGTGCCGGAAGCCACCTAGTGACTCCCAGGAAGTCACCAAGAAAAGCCCCAAGGAGGCTGCAGATTCAGGAAAAGAGCACAATGGAGTCAGGGTAAAGCACAAGCACCGGAAGCCAACCAAGCCAGAGTCCCAGTCTCCAGGAAAACGAACAGATGGCCAAGAGGAAGGTAGGCCCCTGGGTCCTGGCCCTCTGGGTTGGGCTGGGCCACAGAGGGATCCCTCTGCAGGCCGGAAGGAAGGGCTCTGAGACTGACCAAAACGTGAGACTTCCTCACTCTGCAAGGAGGATATAATTGACACCTCTGAAATCAAAGGGAAGAGAGGAGGGAGAAGCAGCTTATTTGCCTCACCCTGGTTGCTAGAATAGAATAAGACATAGTCTGAAGGTCGAAAGAGGTGGTTTTCAGACAGGTAAAAGTCAGTTCTGCAACAGAGAAACAACCCATTACCCTGCAATAGGTCCAGGCTCAGAGAAGAAACAGGCTTAATGAGGATTGACACTAAACAGCAGAATGGGGGTCCGTTACACTATTTTCTTTACCTTGGGTGTACCCATTACAAAAAGCTAAAAATGAACAGCTAGCCAGCTAGAAGGGTTTAGAGTAATTCTAAACCCTTATTATTTAGGGACACACAAGATGTTTGGGGTGGGGAGGTGCTCTGCCACTAATAGTTAACTTGGTGCCCTCATCAGAGAGAGAAGCCCAAGTAGCCTGTGTTCATGGCCTTGCCCGTCTGGCCTCTTTTCTAGTCTGTTCTTACATAGCAGCTTCCCTCTGTCCTCCGCTTCCTGCTCCCCTCTTCCTGCCTCACTCAGTCCTCTAAGATTCACTAAGGTTGCCCTTCTCTGGGACTTGCTCCAGCTCTGTGAGAACTTTGTGGAGGTACAGCAGCCGCAGAGTCGTACAGGCAGCCTGGCCTTCTCCATTCTGGCATGCTGGCGAATCTATTTGATGCCCTGCCTTTTTTTGGTGTCAGCAGAAATGACCCAACTCCCATGTTTTCAAAACCACCAGGAAATGCTCCTTCTCAAAAAGAGATATGGAGGTGATAGCAGCCTAACGGGAGCTGATAACTGAAACCAGGGAGAACATACACCCTCCCTTGACTTTCCCACCTGAGCCACTCAGGGGGGGCTTCCCAGTCCTTAGACTCTGACTGTGATATTTCTGCCTTCTGCCCCGAAACCACACATCACTTCAGGTTCCTTGGAGAAGAAAGCAAAGAGCAGTTTCCGTGACTTCATCCCTGTGGTTCTGAGCACCCGGACGCGCAGTCAGTCTGGTGAGTGAGTGCGAGGCTGTGGTCCATCTTGGCACTGCCAAGAGAGAGAGAAATCTAGCCAAGTGATTTTGACATTGGCCCAGTTGGAGATTTGGGAATTTGACTCACTGTGCCAAGATGCCCAGCTCCTGGTGGAGACGAGAGAGCCCAGGGTGGGGATGGGTGGGGGGATTGCCCAAGTTGTGAGGGATATTTACTTAGATTTTTTAGAACAGGGATTTGATATCTCTTGTTGGCAGCCAATGGTAGAAAGAGGAAAGGCCTGTGCCACTTAGGCAAACTGGCTCTACCGCAAGCTTTGGCATCTCATGATTATTGGGGCCAATCTTGGACACAGACATTTAGCCCTATCCCTAACTCTGGTTCACCCAGATTTTTATGCAAAGTGGATAGATTGGGGAAGCAGGGCACAGTGTAAGCTCAGTTATCTGACATTTTATTAACTGACACTTCAGCACATAGAGAACACAGTGGTAATTGGGACTCATAATGACAGCCTGGAAGCCTCACAAAATCCTTAAGTATCCTCTGAATCATCAACGAGGGCTTACATTGTTACCAGCCCTGTTTTCACATTAAACACATTCTACTGCATTTGATTCTGTAGAAATTGGTGATCTCTATGGTGATTCTGTATTATCTAGAATATTAGATTAACCAGAACACTTTGTTCCCTGCCTGGTTTGTATAATGGCACGTTTGCTAGATATTTGCTGCCTTTAAGTGGTGTTACTACTTGAAGCTTTGGTCAAGGGCTGCTCTGTTTGCCTCGAACCATTTCTTTCTTCTGCTGACCTCACGTGGCTTTGGAGATGGTTGAGTTAATAGCCAGGCCTTGGGAGAAAGAGGGTGGTGTCTCAGATCTGCGTCTGAGGGAGATGTCAGATCCCCTGTAGTGCTAAACTGGGCCAATTTAGGATTGTACTTTTGTTGTTAGCAGAACTGAAGGAAGGAATAGGGAGGAAAATGGCCTCTTGGCAAGGTGGCAGAAGAGGGTAGGGAAGAAACCATCATCCTGGGGTGGTGGGGGGAGAAGGGGGAAATGCTTTGCCAGAGGTATAGAACAGCTGCAGCGGGGTAGGGGGATGTACCAGGAAGAAAGCTCCACCCCTGGACTCTTGCCACTCAATAGAGGTGGGATCAACATAAGGGAAGAGGGACTGGCTGAGGAGCATTTGGGCGGGACTAACCCAGGCCAGTGCCACAGGAAAGGAACTCCTTCTTGCTTCGCTTTTCCTGAGACCCTTCTTTGTGAATACCCAGATCTGCTTCTTTAGGGTGGCTCTGTCAGTGAGATTGGTGGTCACATAGAAAGCAGGGGCAGGGGACCCCTTGTCAGTCTGCCCTCCCTCACTCTCTTCTAAATCCTAATTTCCCAAGGGGCAAGGACCTGTGGCAACATGGATGAGGAAGGGTTTGTAGTTTGGATACTCAAATAGTTGTATGATATATTAGACTGTAAAGTGCATATGAGTAAATGGTCTCCTTTGAGTCTCAAAACAGTCCCATAAGATCATTAAGACAGAGAACAGTAGCCCCGTTTCATAGATGGGAAAACAGAAGTGAAGGAACCTTCCTACAGCATACAGCTAATAACTGCCAGAGCCTGAACTTGAATCCAGACTTTCAGATTTCTAATGCAGGGCACTTGCTTCAACACCATACTTTGTCCTTTGAAGAGGTACCTGACCACCTTCTGTATGTCCTGTTTACAGGAAGCATCTGTAGCTCCTTTACTGGGATGGCAGACAGTGACATGGGAAGCCAGGAAGTCTTCCCCACAGAAGAGGAAATGGAGGTGACCCCCATCCCAGCTAAGCGTCGGAAGGTGAGAAAGACCCAACGGGACACCCAGTATCGCAGCCACCATGCCCAGGATAAGACTCTGCTGAGCCAGGGCCGCAGGCATCTGTGGCGAGCCCGAGAAATGCCCTGGAGGACAGAGGCTGCCCGGCAAATGTGGGACACCAATGAGGAAGAGGAGGAAGATGAGGAGGATGGTCTGGTGAAGAGGAAGAAACGGAGACGGCAGAAGAACCGAAAATATCAGACTGGGGAGTACCTGACCGAGCAAGAAGAAGAGCAGCGGCGGAAAGGGAGAGCTGGTAAGGCTGGGTAGGGGGTGCTGCCCCAGTGAGCTGCTGTCACCCAAGCTACAATGACTTTAGCTTCTGGATGCCCTCTGGCATTTTGGAGGTTCCTACCTCTGTCTTCTCTACACCTGCCAAAGGCTGCTGCACCCATAGAAACCTGGTTCTATGAGCCTCAGCTGCCAGAGGGGTCATTTAAAATTATATATATATTGATTTCAGAGAGGAAGGGAGAGGGAAAGAGAGAGAAACGTCAATGATGAGAGAGAACCATCAATCAGCTGTCTCCTGCACGCTGCCCACTGGGGATCAAACTGCAACCGGGCATGTGCCCTGACCAGGAATTGAACTCTTGGTTCATAGGTTGATGCTCAACCACTGAGCCATGCTGACTGGATGAGAGGGTCATTTAAAAAAAAAAAAAAAATATATATATATATATATATATATATATATATATATATATATATATATATATATATATATATTGATTCTAGGGGGAAAGGGAGAGAGATAGAAACATCAATGATGAGAGAGAATCATTGATTGGCTGCTTCCTGCATGCCCCCTACTGGGGATTGAGCCCACAACCTGGGCATGTGTCCTGAGTTGAACTGTTATTTCCTGGTTCATAGGTCGATGGTCAACCACTGAGCCACACTGACCAGAGTGGGTCATTTAACACTAGTCACTGGTTTTGGCTTAGGGTTGAAATTGAATGAGTTTGGACTAATTTACAGGTGAGCTGAGGATAAATAGCCCCAAGCCCTTCAACTTGTTATAAAAGTTTGAATCTATGGTCAAGGCCACAGTGACATCCTGGCATGGTACAACTCAATACCAGGGAATTCTTTGGTTGGCTTGAGGAAGTTGGTTTTTTTGGGAGGCTGGGCTCTCTCGCCTAGAATCTTGGGTTCAGGGAGGAGGAGGGCATTAATGGACTTTTCTGGGATGTCTCCAGCTCCTAAACGAAAATAAAGTAAAATGGTTTTCTCAACACAACAGAAGAACTTCAAGTAGAAGTAGACATAACTTTGCTTTCTCCCTTAAAGCCACAAAGGAAGGTTATTAAGAGGCAGGGTGAAGCCCTAGCCATTTTTCTCAATGGTTAGAACATTGGTCTATGGACTGAAAGGTTGTGGGTTTGATTCTGGTCAAGGGCAAGTACCTTGGTTACAGGTTCAATCCCCAGCCCCCGGCCAGGTGCATGCAGGAGGCAACAAATAAATGTGTCTCTTTCACAATGATGTTTCTCTCTGTCTCTCCCCCTCCCTTCCACTCTAAAAATCAATGAGAAAAATATCCTTGGGTGAGGATTAATAAAATAAAACAAAGAGGCAGGGTGAAGCTTTGAGGTGACCGAGGTGGCATTATTTGTTGGACCCAAGGAGAAAAACAGGCTTTATGTGGCCACATCAGATGCTATAATATGTAATCATGAAGGCACAGCCTGTCACCTATCTAATATCAGTGTGTTTCACTAAGTACTGTTTAGGATCATTCCTATAATGGATTTCAAGACGAGCAAAATATGCATCTCTGGGCTCCAAAATAATGCCTCTATCTCGCACTCACACTCTTTCTCTGACCTCTGCCCTTGAAGCAACAATTGATTGTCTCCTGTTATGTATTCATCCCGAGCTGCTGGCAAATATCTGCAGTTTCCTGATTAGCAAAAACTGAATAACCGCATACTGAGCCGGGAGTAGATATTGGGCTTCTTATAATGCAAAGAAGGCTAGACTTCATTTCCAGCTCTGTTTAAATAGAGACATATATGATACAGATCTCTACACTTATGAGAGTAATTGAGCTAATTTTCATCAACTATGTGAGAAAATGGGGATAGTTTTTCCTTTTTTTCTGTCAGAGCCTTAATGGATTGGTCAGGAATGAGTTGTCAAGCTGTTGGCCTCAGCCACTTGTGTTCAGAGGAAGAAGAGATTTTGTAGCACCAGTCTTCTCTAATGAGGACTAGCTTCCTAGAAACTTGGAAACTTCTTACTGAATTTATGGGCTTTTAAAACCAGAAGAACCTCCAAGGGTGCCTGGTCCAGTTTTCCATCCAATACAGAGATCTTCACAGCACTTGGTAGGTAGTCTTTCCTTATAACAGCTCTAGGAGTATGGAGAACACTGCTTAGCAAGGCCTCCTATTTGACTTGGGGGCAGCTCCAGTTGTTAGAAAGCAGGTCATTCTCCCTCCATGTGTGTGTCTAAGGGTTTTCAGTTGAGGTTGTTGGCTTTGTCATATGGTCTGGTCATCTTCCTCCAGATCTGGTAGTGATGGAATGAAGGAATTGCTTGGCAGAGATCTCTCTTCTCAATTCATGAAGAAATTGCTTGGCAGAGATCTCTCTTCTCAAAAAACCTCTGATCTCTTCTTTTACTACTACCCATCTTTCAGGTGAATATCAGAGAGTCAGGCACAGTCCAAACTAGACAGGTACCTTACTCCTGTCTGAGCTTCATGACCTTTCCTTTGGTTCTGGGCTTGTGTTATTCCCTTATTGACCTGCAGAAGAGAGAGGAAGAGCTACTCCCACTCCCATACTCACTACCTCTACTCTCCGTGCCTTTGTGTGCTACCAGGAAGCCCTTGCTCCACCACAATTGTATAAACTCCATAGCCTGCCCTGGTCTTGGTAATGGGGTAGGGACTGCTGCCTCTTCTGTGGCATTGAATGCTGTAATATGGCTTCCCCATGTTTCCTGAGGTCCTCACAAGGCACGGTCTGTTCCTTCCTCTTTTGCCTCAGCTCAAACTTGTTGCTTTAAAATTCCTGGTTTAGAATATTTTGACCGGAAGTGCCATTACAACCCATCTAGTATAGCCGTTCTTGGACAGGTGTGGGGACCCACTAGTGGGTTGGAACTAGTTGGGAGAAAGTGGTAGTGTGACTGCTGGCCGCCTAAGAGCTTTGCATAACCTACACTCAATTCCTCATGTAATGGTGGCTCCCACATCTGGATCTGCCCTTGGTGATGCCACATGTGAGAGCACATGGCCAGGTCCAGGGAAGGAATTGAGAACTCTTGGATCTTGGCACACCCTCCCCCCCATTTTACAAATTGGAGAAATCAAGGCTGCAGTTATACATTTGACAGACATACTGATCTTGTGCCATGTGCTAGGTAGGCATGATGGTCAGGCCTGTGAGGGAGATAAAGAACACATGGGCATGGCCCCATGTAAAGAGTTTACACTTAAGTAATGTGTTAACGATGCCTTACTCTTTCTAACACTTTATAAAGGGGGTTTGCACTTGTTACCTCATCTAATTCTTATATTAAGTCCTTTGATGTGGATTATATTCTCCTCATATTACTGGCATAGAAATGAGGCTTGGGGAGATTATGACTTGCCTCTAGCCAGTCACACAGCTAGTGGCGTGGCCAAGCCATGTAACACTAATATTAGCTAAGAGATAAGGGTAAACCCCGTCTATCCCTTCTACATGTGAGGTTTAGGACTGACCTGGGCGCTGAGGCTCTTGGTAATGGGGTTCCCAGTGCCAATCAGGGATCTCCCTGCTCTGGAGCTGGAATGAGTTGTATGAAATTAGGAAGTGCTTTGTTCAGTGAGCTGTGGGTAGAATTAGAAACGTTACCCAATCTGTTCCAGTAACTTGATTTCCAACCAGGGGGCAGCAGGTTTCTGTGATTGTCCACCGGCTGAGTCCCAATGGCACTTTCTGATTTTAGGGAGTTTCTGTGGCTTTGATCTTTCTGTCCTCACAAGAGTGACCAACAGGGCAATCAGGTATGTAGAGCTGAGGCTCTGAAGGAAGTCTCCCACCATTTACTCCCCACTCTAATATGCTTCATACTTCACTTCAGCAGAGCTTCTAAATTTGTTTTCTCCATTGGAATGGAGAAAAAGGCAAAGGGGATAGGGAGAAAGCTGAAAAGGAAGTTCTGATTTGCTTTGGGCTTTGGGGAAATATTTAAAAATGACCATCATTTTGGGAACAGCCAGATGGGTCTCCCCCTTCTGGCAGGGCTGAGAGTTGTCACCTGCTTATAGAGGAGGGACTGATGTTGAAATACAGTGTCCATTTGAGAAGCAGTTAGTGGAATTGTCACCACCAATACAGGTAGATAATTACACAAGTTATTTCTGAGGTTCTAATCTCCAAATTCATGTGGGAGGAAGGCTTGGTTTTCTGTGTTCGATTTCCCTGACATTCATTCTTTCCTGTTTTGTGCCTTCAGAGTTAAAGGCCCGTAAGCAGAAGACTTCCTCCCAAAATTCAGAGCACCACCTCAGGAACAGGAACCTTCTCTTGCCCAACAAAGCCCAAGGGATCTCGGATTCACCAAATGGCTTTCTCCCGAATAACCTGGAGGAGCCAGCCTGCCTTGAAAATTCAGAAAAGCCATCAGGAAAACGAAAGTGCAAGACCAAGCATATGGTAAACGTCTCAGAAGAGGCAAAGGTGTGTTGCTAGCTACGGGGAGTTGTGGAAGAGGGGAGTGGGCTAGAGTTGCAGGCTTTCCAGAAGCTCCTCTGTCAACAGTTCTCTGAGTGAGACAGTGAGTGAATGAGTGAATGGGAGGATCACATTAACCCATATTCATTAAAGTATTTTAAATTAGTTCTAGAAGTGTTCAGGGGAGGATCTGAAGTTAGAGCTAACTGTAAGTATTTGCAAAGTATAGGGTTTGGTTCATGATGGCTTTTCCTCCACAAGCCTTGGATCGCTTTTGAGTTAAGATTATGGTAGCCTGAATAGCTTGTTAACATCCAATCAAGAAGCTTTTGTCTGCGCTTAACTCAGTGGAAATCAATCAGGGAGATTTCTGAGTCAATCAAGGTAGCAAATGGGAGCAAGGTAGTTGATGTCTAGACAAAGGTTGCTAAAGGGTAGGGCTGAAGGAATTCTACTCGGGTCCCTTTATATCCACCCATCTCCACACTCACTATCCAGTCACAAAGGAGCAGGTAAGTGGGCAGTCACCATATCAGTAGCCAGGCAAACATTCTAAAAACCCTGTTCAAAATTGACATCTCTTTTGGGTCTGATGTTAACAACATGAGTGTTAGGTTCCACATTAAACAATTTGAAAAAAATCACACAGTTTTCATCCTGGATGCGCTATACATTTGAGAAAAGTGAAAGTTTGGGTTCAAATGTGTACTCGTACTATGTACTCATCATTGCCAACAACAAAAATGCGCTTATATTAGGCTTTTTATGATGGCTGTGCTTCTTCTTGCTCTTTCCAGATCCCAAGCAGGGATCCCTGCGGGACACTGGCAAAAGGGGAGAGACCAGGTTAAGGTGACTAGATGTCCCGCTTTTGGTGGGATAGTTCCGATTTTCAACAATTTGTCTCGCGTCCTGCAGCGGTTTAAAAAAGTCCCGATTTAACATTGCAGGATGCGGGACAAATTGTTAAAAATCGGGACGTCTGGTCACCTTAAACTAGGTGCTCATTTCCCCTTTCAAAAAAAAATATTTGGTGAAACCGGTTTGGCTCAGTGATAGAGCATCAGTCTGCGGACTGAGGGGTCCCAGGTTCGATTCCAGTCAAGGGCATGTACATTGATTGCGGGCACATCCCCGGTGTGGGGTGTGCAAGAGGCAGCTGGTCGATGTTTCTCTTTCACCGATGTTTCTAGCTCTCTGTCTCTCTCCCTTCCTCCTCTCTGTAAAATATTAATAAAATATATATATTTTTTAAATTTATTGATTTTTTTACAGAGAGGAAGGGAGAAGGATAGAGAGTTAGAAACATCAATGAGAGAGAAACATCAATCAGCTGCCTTTTGCACACTTTCCACTGAGTATGTGTCCTCAAAAAAGGTACATACCCTTGGCAGGAATCTAACCTGGGACCCTTGAGTCTACAGGCTGACCCTCTGTCTACTGAGCCAAACCAGTTAGTGCTTCTTCCTCCTTCTTTCCCATTCTGGAATCTGGTTCCAGCTCAGATGAAGTACTCAAACATATTTCTTTATCTTTAAAAACAAAGATGAACCTTAGCTGATTTGGCTAAGTGGATAGAGCATTGGCCTTTGGACTGAAGAGTCCCGGGTTCAACTCCTGTCAAGGGCACATGCCCAGGTTGCGGGCTTAGTCCCCAGTGGGGGGTGTGCAGGGGGCAGCCAATCAATGATTCATCACGGATGTTTCTATCTCTCCATTCCTCTCTGAAATCAATAAATATATATTTTTAAAAAATAGATGATACTCCTTCCATCTCGAAAGGGTATTTAGGGGAACAAAGGAGGAAGTATGTCTGTTAAAGGCTTTCATCATCCTAAAGTGCTTTCCGAGTTGGTGTACATCCTTGAGCTTTAGCCTAGGCAAGAATGAGGGAGACAGCCCAAGCCAGTTTGGCTCAGTGGGTAGAGTGTCAGTCTGCGGACTGAAGTGTTCTGGGCTCAATTCAGGTCAAGGGCACCTACCTTGGTTGCACATGTGAAAGGCAACCAATCGATGTGTCTCTCTCACATCGATGTTTCTATCTGACTCTCCCCCTCCCTTCTACTCTCTCTAAAATGAATGGAAAAATATCCTTGGTAGAGGATTAACAAAAACCAAAGAAACAGCCCTAGCTGGTTTGGCTCAGTGGATAGAGCATTGGCCTGCAGATTGAAGCGTCCCAGGTTCGATTAGGGCCAAGGGCACATGCCCGGGTTGTGGGCTCAATCCCCAGTACTGGGTGCGCAAGAGGCAGCCAATCAATGATTCTCTCATCATCGACGTGTTTGTTTTTTTTTAATTTATTTTATTGATTTTGTACAGAGAGGAAGGGAGAGAGATAGAGAGTTAGAAACATCGATGAGAGAGAGTCATCCATCAGCTGCCTCTTGCACACCCCCTACTGGGGATATGCCTGCAACCAAGGTACATGCCCTTGATCGGAATCGAACCCGGGACCTTTCAGTCCCCAAGCCGACGCGCTATCCATTGAGCCAAACCGGTCTCGGCGACATAATTGATGTTTTTCTCTCTCCCTCCCTCTCCCTTCCTCTTTGAAATCAAGAAATATTGAAAGAAAGAAAGAAAGAAAGAAAGAAAGAAAGAAAGAAAGAAAGAAAGAAAGAAAGAAAGAAAGAAAGAGAATGAAGGGTCAGAATTATGGAGTAGCAAGGGAGCAGTGATCATTCCCTGCAATTCCCAGAGGGATGTCAGGGGTACGAGTTGGTAGGGGGGGGGGCAGTAAAGTCAGGTCTGTGCTGAGTGCTCCATTCACATAATGGCTTTCAATTCTCACAGAGACTCTTGGAGGTAGGTGGTGCTGTCTTCTTTATAACTAGGAAATTGAGGCTCTTGGAAGTTAAGGGACTTGTGCAAGGTTACTTTGGGGTCCTAAGTGACAGTTGGATCTTGAGGTAGGCCAGGCTGCCCCCTGGAGCCCCCACCCACCCTGCTCTTTACATATGCCTCCACCCTGTGAATGGATGGCTGTTCCCTCTATCCAGGAGTCACTGAGGGAGGGGACGGCCAGGGAGGGAAACACTGCAACCCTGAGCAGTTCTGACAAAAGGTGAGAGACATCCTCCCTTCTCCCAGCTCTTCCAGCATTGAGATGGCCTTGTCCCACACAAAGGTGACCAGCTGCCTGGCATACTGGAGCACATGCTGTCTGGTTATTCTGCTTGGCGGAGTGTCCACTGAAATGTTCCTCCCAGAGAGGTTTTGTCCCTTCACAGGGCCTCCTTTTTTCCCCTCCCACCTTTCTTTATCCCCCAGTCACCACCACCTACTCCAGTTGCCCCCATGGCACGGGGCTTTGTAGTGGGAAACAAGGTGGTGGTGGGGGACACACCTGCAACACTGAAGCTGGGGCATTGGCCATAGGCGGCTTCTCACAGGGGATCCTAGCCAGGATGGAAGTGGGAGGGAAGATGACTCTCATTTACTCTTGTTCCTCCCCATCTAAGGCAGCCTTCTTTGTCTCTGGCAACTCTGGCCCCTAAAAGGAGAGTTACCCTTTGGCTCCTATCTTTGCTTAGCAAAAACCTGGGCCCTTTACTCAGCATCCTCCAGTACTGCCATTATACACCACTGTCCTCCTGGCAGCATTCTATACTCAGAGCTAGTGCCTTTCTGCTAGTGACTGTATCTCTCTGCCTCTTTGGGAAGAGGATGGATAGTGGCTCATGATGTTTTGGGATTTACCAGAGGGAAAAAATGCCCTGGCCCTCCTTTCCTGGCTTCATGTCTTTCTAGGCAACTTTTCTGGCTGCCCAAGGCTTGGCAGGTGGCTCAAGTCAACAAATATTTGTTGCAACTATGTGCCCAGCCCTGAGTTAAATGCTATAAGGAACAAAAGAGAAGATGACAGTATAAACCCTGCTTTCAAGGAGCTTAAAACTTAGCAGGGGAGGCCAGACTTGCCCAAAACATGAGGAAAGGAAATTAAAACAGTCAAACAACAGGCACCAGGTTATGTGATTCAGACTAGGTCTTCTGGGTGTGCAGAGGAAGTGGGGACCAGAGTGTTGTAGAATGTCTTAGAAAACAGGATTTAAGTGAGACTTTGATGCTCTGAGAGATTTGGATATGCAGGGATGTATTATTTACTGTGGATTAACAGATTACTCTAAAATTTAGCAGCATCAGTGTGATGATAGACATACATTATCTCACACAGTTTCTGGGGATAAGGAATTCAGAAGCAACCTAGCTGGATTTGTGGGGTCTCATGAGTTTATAGTCAAAGTATCAGCCATGGCTGCATTCATCTGAAGGCTTGACTGGGGCTGGGGTTTCCAGGGTGGCTCCCTCACATGGCTGGCAAGTTGATATTGGTTCTTGGCAGAAGGTGTCCTATCCTTGCCCATGGGTTTCTCCAAAGGGCTGCTGGAGTGTCCTTATGATATGGCACTGGCTTCCCCCCAGAGCGAGTGTTCCAAAAGAGAGCAAGGCAGAAGCCACATTGTCTTTTAGGACCAAGCCTTGGAGGTCACATATCATCATCTGAGCAATCTATTGGTTACACAAGGTTAGTCCTATCCAGTGTGGGAGGAGGCTATGCAATAGCATGAGTATTAGGAAGTGGAGGTTGTCAGGGGCCATCTTGGAGCCTGATGAGGGCGCAGTCTGGCCTCTGCCTCCCAATGTTCATGTCCCTCCCACATGCCAGACACACACCCCTGGCATGGGCCTTTCCCAAGGCCCCTCAAAGTCTCCACTAACTATGGCATTAGCTTAAATTTAAAAGCTCATCATCTAACTGAGGTCCAGGTTCAGATGAGGCTTCCTGGGTCTGGTTCATTGAATGCAGCTCCTGGAGCACAGTTCTTCTCAATATGAAGACCCCCTGAACTAAGGAGATAAGTTACTTGTCTCCATAGATGCAATACACCATGGTGGGACAGGCGTGGGAACTTACTCTAGACATTCCAGTTCAAATGGGAGGAAAGAGGAGACACATGGGAGCCATTCATGAAGTAAGGACTCTTAATGTTTTGTGAGCACCCACCCTGTGCATTGTTCTGGAGCCTCTCTAGTTCATGATTTCAAAGACCCTTCAGAGGGGGGGGGGCAGAGAGTTTGGGCTTTGCAGCTAGTAGATGACAGAGGCAGAATTCAAACCCAGATCTGCCTGAATCCCAAGCCTGAGGCCTTCCAGCACTCCAGGTGGGTATGAGTGTGGCCTGGGGAGGAGTGTGGTGGAAGATGGGGAAAGCCTGGTGAAAGTTGGATGTCGGGGAAGGTTTTTGCAATAAGAGAGAAGGCTTCACAGCTGTACCTCTTTAGTCAGTCAGTTGTCTCCGCTAATCTTTACTCTCAAGAGTTTGCTTCTGCTTATAGAGATGATGTCTAAAAACCTCTATGAATGGAGAGTGAGACAGGTTACAGAAGGCATGCAGAGTACTTGAGAGAAGCTGAGATATCCTCTCAGTCTCTGATATCCAATCCCTTCGTCCTTCCTTGGTTTGTGTGGTTAAGGATGTGAGCCCCTTAGCATCTGCTCTCTGGGGAGAAGTGAATGGGAACCTATGCTGACCCAGGACTGCACCGCTGCTTTCCAGGGCAAAGGACGTTGGAACCAGCAGAAGACACGATTTCCCAAGTCTCCCACCTCAGCGAAAAACACGGAACTGTGCACACCCGCTAAGTGCCGAAGTGCCAGCCTAGAGGAGGCCTCAGAGTCCCCAGCAGCCCTGCAGATTCCTCCAGAGGCACGTCGGCTCATAGTGAACAAAAATGCGGGTGAGACCCTCCTGCAACGGGCGGCACGTCTTGGCTATAAGGTAAGGAACATCCTGTGCAGGATACAATTGCACTAGCACCTGGAGAAACCCTCCCATTGGCTCTTCTGTGGCCTGGGCAGGGATTTGTTTGGGGCTTGAACCTGGCTGGCCTCTTGTTGTGAATGCAAGCTTATTTGAGTGGCAATTTAAAATGAACATAATTGAAATGTTAACACACAATGGTGTGCGATACATTTCTAGGCCAGAAATGGTTTTGAGGGGGTTATGTTTTTTTTAATTATTTTGTGCAGTGGCTCCCACACTCAGAGAGGAAGAGGAGTGATCACAGAGTAGCCCCTGCTTTTTTTAGGTTTCTGATGCCTCTAACCAACTCTTTTAAAATATCTTTTTTATTAATTTCAGAGAGGAAGGGAGGAGAGAAAGATAGAAACATCAATCATGAGAGTCATTGATCAGCAGCCCCCTGCATGCCCCCTATTGGGGACTGAGCCCGAAACCCAGGCATAAACCCTGACTGGGAATCGAACCATGACCTCCTGGTTCATAGGTTGATGCTCAATCACTGAGCTATGCATGCCAGGTTATAACCAACTCATTGAATGACAGTTGCACTCCCAGAGTCTCACTGGCAAGCTACCATCTTTCCTGAGCACCTAGTGTAGAGGTCTGAAGAACTGCCAAGGAAGATCTAAAGAAAAAACTAGGAGCGACCCCTGCCCTCAAGATTAATTTTCTTTAACCTCCGGCCAAACCACAAACAGGAAACTGCAGGAAAACTAACCGGGACAGGGCCAGAGCAGTAGGGTAGCCTGTCACAGGAAGGAGACAGGGGTGGTCTGAGGCCCGGGAGAGAGGTGAACATTTGCAGTGGTTCCTCTTGCTCCCTGGGACACAAGCAGGAGGCAGCACCCCTGAGGCAGCATCCGCAACGCAGGCACACGTGCACATGTGCATGCTTGCTTACTCAATCGCCCATCCTGTGAGCTAGCTGTCAATCAGTATGGTTGAGCAGGCCATTTTCACCAGGACCTGGGGGGGTTGATAATGGACCCCTGGGAGCTGCTATGGCCTCTTTCCTCAGTAGGAGGCTTGCCTCTCCCCTTCCTCACCAGCTTCAGCCCAGACTAGTTAAGGTGCTTCTGGGCCAGGAGTTCTGCTTCTGGTCCTGTCATCTCAGCCCAGGGAAGCTAATAATTACTACATGGATGGATGATCACACTGGATAGTACTCAGAACAGTCTTTTTTGTTATTGTTAATCTTCACTGGAGGATATTTTTCCCATTAATTTTTAGAGAGCATGGAAGGGAGGGGAGAGACACAGAGAGAAAAACATCAGTGTCAGAGAGACACATATATTGGTTGCCTCCCACACGTACCCTGACCAGGGCCGGGGATTGAGCCTGCAACAGAGGTGCGTGCCCTTGATCAGCGAATCCAGGACCCTTCAGTCCATGGGCTGACACTCTACCCACTGAGCCAATCTGGTTGGGGCAAGGCTAACTTTGACAAAGGAGTTTGAGACTCGTCTGTTGGTCCCCAGAATAAAGAGCAGGCTCTGAGACTCTCTCAGACATTTGGAGAGCTTCGAATTTAATGGGCGTGGTTTCAAGAATTAGGCCACTTTTTGCTCATGGAGCTCTCCTTGTCCCCACAGGATGTTGTTCTCTACTGTCTCCAGAAAGACAGCGAGGATGTGAACCACCGCGACAACGCTGGCTACACAGCCCTGCATGAGGCCTGCTCCCGGGGCTGGACCGATATTCTGAACATCCTGCTGGAACATGGGGCCAATGTGAACTGCAGTGCGCAGGATGGCACCAGGCATGCTCCCCCCGACTCCCCTCACTCCCACCCTCCCCCAGCTCAGCTCCAGTCTAGACCTATGCAGCATGCCAGGTTGCGAGTTGCACAGAGGCCTTGTCAGGAGGGGTTTCAGGGAGAGATCTGCAGACTGTAGGAGAGACTGGGTTAGGGCAGGGATGGATGTGTTCCCAGCAGGCCAGTCCACAACATTTACCAAGGGGAGACTGAGGTTGTCTAGGGATCACCCCATCAGATGCAGCTTCGCCAGGAAGACTGCTCAGGCTTTCCGCAAACCATCCTGGGGGTGCGCCTGTCTCAGGCAGAGTCTCAGGCTTCAGGCACCAAGGTAACATACAGATTTGATTCTTTTTTTATGGCTATACATTTATTTATTTATTTGTTTGTTTGTTTATTTATTTATTTATTTTTCCTCACCTGAGAGTATTTTTCCATTGAATTTTAGAAAAAGTGGAAGGGAGGGGGAGACACAGAAAGAGACACACACATCGATGTGAGAGAGACACATCAATTGGTTGCCTCCCACATGAACCTCCAAGGGATCGAGCCTGCAACCCAACATACCCTTGACCAGAGTCGCGCCAGAGACCCTTAGTCTGCAGGCTGACACTCTGTCCCCTGAGCTAAACCAGTTAGGGCCTGATCTGATTCTTGGTTGATCTCTATACCCTTTCTAAAAAGATACCTTATAGAAATTATACCCATTCTCTTCTGCTCTATCAGAGGGCTTACTTCCTGGCAAAATTGAAACACAAGCCACATACCAAGTGGGGGGACTTGAGTCAAAGGACTCCGGCTCTACTTGGCCACCACCTGGTGTGTGGAGCTGTTTTGCTCATCCCTGTTCATGGGCATTCATCGGGTCCTTCTGTTCATAACCTTAAGCATCTGCTTTAGGTTTATCCTCAGTCAGGGTCCATTCTCTCCAACCCCAGAAGTACCATAGAGACAATATCAAGATATGGGAGGAACGTAAGAGAGAGAAATGGGAGAGAGGAGGAGCACAGGGAGAGATGTTGTGGGGGGTGTAGGCCAGAGATAATTCCTCTGCTCTAAGTCTTATCCACATTGTACTGGGGTCATCTCATTTTACTTCTCCCTGACAAGGCCGCCTGAGGTCTAGACACCCAGGTTCCCACTTGGGCCCTATTGTCCTCACCCTGTATCACCTCCACAGGCCAGTTCATGACGCAGTAGTCAACGACAACCTGGAGACCATCTGGCTCTTGCTGTCCTATGGGGCTGACCCGACACTGGCTACCTACTCGGGGCAGACAGCCATGAAGCTGGCCAGCAGCGATACCATGAAGCGCTTTCTCAGCGGTAAGCACAGCCCAGACTTGAAGCCAGCATCCTGGAGGCTGGCTTCTGAGTCTTGAATTCCTGAGGTGATAGTCTTCATCTCCCTCCATCTCAAACAGCTCCCATGAGGGCCGTCAGCCCTTTTCACAGGCTTTCTTTCAAGCATCTCAGAAATCTCTATATACTTTAAAAAGCCCAAAGGCCCACTTCCTCTTATCCTTGTGCTGTGAATGTCCACATTGAATGCATCCTCTTCAGGACCCTGCTAGCCTGCAGGGACCCATTTTCTAGCGAGGCATGTAGGACAGGTCTTCCTATGGGACAGCAGCCTCACTAACAGATTTAATTAGAAAAATATAGTGACCTCTACGTTGAATGGCATATCAGTTGCAAAGAAGTGGCACAGTGTTTTGTCTCTGGTTTTGCATTTTCTCCTGTTGGTGATCAGAGTAGAACCCTTGGGACCCCTCCTGACACTATTTCTCACAGCCCTTGCCTGTGGTAACTGTATTGTTCCCTCTGCGTCCCCTCTTCCCCCCGCCCATTCCTTTCTTGTCTTCCTCACCTAACCCCTGTGGAAAAGTGTCTGGTGTTTAGGCCTATGGCAAGGGCCACAAGCCAATATGCGTTTGTTTTCTCATGAGCAGATGGCAGCTGTTTGTCTGCAGTTAGATAGCTTATAGTGAGTTGGGCAGCGGGAGGAAGATAAGGAGGGAAGTCTAGCTTGGGCATGCTCAGTGGGAATCTCCTCAGACTTGACCTTTAAAGGAAGAAACCCTGCCTCCTCAATGACATCACAGCATGGCCCTCCCTCTAGCAGTTACTTCCTCAGACTGCCTGAGTGGCAAACAGACAGCTATATCACTCACCCTCCTCGGAGGTGCTGATGTTTGTGGTAGACCCCCTCTGGGATTGGAAGCCCACAGGACCAAGGGTTTGCCCAAGGTCACTCCTGGTTAGTCTCCCCTCCTCTCCCCGCCCTTGTACAACACATGCCCCAGAGAGACAGTTCTGAGCTCCCAACCAGGGGCTCATTTGTTTATCGAACAAAGGTTAACTAGGTAGCTGATGATGGAGGAAGCAACAAAGGAACCAGAACTGAAGATCTTCATGGAAGGAAGACTAGATGGGAAGAGCTTAGATTAAGGTGACCAGACGTCCCGCTTTTGGTGGGACAGTCCCGATTTTTAACAATTTGTTCCGTGTCCCAAGGCCTTTTAAAAAAAAGTCCAAAAGATTTTAAAGAATCTTTCTAAAAATCGGGACTTTTTTAAAATTCCGCGGGATGCGGGACAAATTGTTAAAAATTGGGACATCTGGTCATCTTAGCCTGGATGCTAATGAAAGCTGGAGAGGAATGATGGAATGCCACTGAGGGAGGCTTTGACTTCTGCTCAGCCAGCCTCCATTCCATTCCCAGTTAAGTCAGCTACACCCTGCAGTTGCTGATCACCTTGTACAGGCCTCAGGCCTCACAGCTGAACCCAGCCTCTCCCTAGCTCAGGGAAGGACTGTCTTTTCCTTTCCCCCAGCTCTGGCATCCCAGGCCCCTATCATCAAGGGGCAGAGCCACTTTGTGATGGCCATTCAGTCATTTGTCCTGGGCCAATGATGACTCCTATTCCCTTAGCTGAACCATTCCCAGAGTGCAGGGCTCAGGGCAAGCATTCTGTGGCCTCCTCCCACTTACCATACCCTACACATACTCTCTTACATGCACACATGTGGAGGTGTCTACACACCACTCAGTTTCTAGGAAAAGCTGGTACAGGTGACCAGAGCATCTCAACTTGATAAACGTACTGCATGAAGCTGTGTCTCTAATCAATAGTTCTAATCCAGGGCCTCTGCGGTCTAGAGATTGAGGGTCTTGGGACCTTCTGGGTCCACATAAAGCTATCTCTGACCACCTGAGTTAGCAGATGAACTCTTTTTAAAAAATATGTATGTATATTTATTGATTTCAGAGAGGAAGGAAGAGGGAGAGAGAGAAACATCAATGATGAGAGAGAATCATGATCAGCTGCCTCCTGCATGCCCTCCACTGAGCCTGCAACCCAGGCATGTACCCTGACCGGGAATCAAACTGTTAGCTCCTGGTTCATAGGTCAACACTCAACCACTGAACCATACTGGCAGGGTGGCGGGCGAACTCTTTACTTCTCTGACCCTTCTCCAAAATCCCAAAGGAATTTGAATGTTGAAATTATTTTAAGTGGTTAAGAAATTAGAAATAAATACATTTTTCTCCTCTTCTTCTCATTTCTATGAGAAATAGGTAGCCTTTTGATGCCTCCTGAAACTAACTTGAATACCAGTCCCTGCTACAGAAGCGAGAGAAAACTTAATTCCTGCATTTGCTAGCTTGTCCAGGCCGAGCACCTACATTCAAATATATTTTTAATATATTTTATTGATTTTTTTACAGAGAGGAAGGGAGAGGGATAGAGAGTTAGAAACATCGATGGGAGAGAAATATCAATCAGCTGCCTCTTGCCCACCTCCTACTGGAAATGTGCCCGCAACCAAAGTACATGCCCTTGACTGGAATCGAACCTGGAACCTTTCAGTCCGCAGACCGACACTCTATCCACTGAGCCAAACCAGTTAGGACCCTTTATTCAAATCTTGATATTGTTTCTCAACATTATGGGATGGAGCTGTAGCTTCATAATGGGTCCAGGAGCTGAAGGGAATGTTAAAACTGAGCCACATCTTTTCCATGCGAATATCAAGCGGCGTTAAAGGAAGATGTCTGTCTGGCTGAAGGAGAAAGTGTGAGCAAGCCCGTAGGCCAGGACCTTAGCCGGACACCCCAGGAAGGCAGGCACTGAAAATCAATGGCTTTCTGGAGGAGGGGGGAGGGGACGGACTTGGGTCCAAAGGCTGTTTAGGGGGGATGCGAGAACAATATTCAGGGTCTTTTTAAAAAATCCAGGTTCAGTTCACCTAACAACTGTTTGGCACTTAATATATTCATAATGTTGTGCAACCATCCTCAGACAATTTTTTAAAAATATATATTTTATTGATTTTTTCGGCCATCAGGCGATTTTTTGGTTCCTTACACTGAGTGTTTCTCTTTTTGTGTTCTGGTATCCCTCTTTCCCAGAGCCCACGAAGCTACTGGGTAGAGTGGCACAGTGGCTCTAGGAAGCACCATGAGGCTGGAGGTTGGAGAGGCAGTTCCCTCCATCCCCCCACTTCCCAGTCCCTCTGTCTGGATGCATTTGGGTGGACTTCTGGATTTTTCTTTTACCTTTCCTGTCTGGCTGAAGTATTTTCAAAGCTTTTTGCTTTTCTCTCCAAGCATTTGCCTCATCAGACTCTCCATAGTTTGTCTTCTTCCTCCCTTGATGGGGATCTCACTGAGCAGAAAATGAGGGAGAATTCCAATAGGGTGCAAAGGGCTCGAAGCCGGAAAGGTGAGCAAGAGCATCAGGCTTGTGCCTTATGCAGAGCTTTCCTCACTCTGTGCAAGGCCCTTGTTCAGGAGGAGTCTGGGAATCAAATCCTCTTTTAAATATGCAAAGGAATATTACTATTTACAAGTATCTGTAGTGAATTCTTTCGTAAAGCAGGTTGGTATTCATCTAGGTTATAAGTGTGGATTTCCTGTATTGGGTTGGCTTAGAGCGAGGCCCATTTCTCCTGAGCTCATGATGTAGTGTCATTCCTTCATGCATTTATTCATCCATGCACTTAGTGATCATCTGTTAAATTTCAGATACAGTGCTGGGTACTGGAGGCCAGATAGTGAGCCCTTTCTCTTACAGCCTGGAGCTTTGAGCACCAAGCCATCCAACCCCTTTCCAAAGGCCCTCCTCCTCAGATCATATGACAGGCAGGCACGTGACTGATTTGCCTTTGACCCTTTGAAGGGAAGAATAATATCCAAGCTAGCCAAGGGAAAACGGGCTCATTTTTCCTCCTTTGTTTGGAAAGAATGTGGGAGGTGGGGGCATTGTTGCCATTTGGTTGGGGGCATTGGAGGAAGTACTAGGACTGCTTTTCCTTCCACTGATGGAAGGGTTAGCCATTTACCACTTGAGGTCACTGAATCACAGGTTTTTGTTTTTCCTGCCAAAGACCTCTGCTGTATGACCTCATGTTGAAGACCGCTTGTTTTTTGTTTTTCTCCCCTTTCATGTCCCTCAGCTGGCAACTTGGTTGGAGGAGATGGGGAGGGGTCTGTTGGGACCTTGGGAAATAGAGAATCTCTGATTGCCATGGTGACCACTCACACTGAGTACTTAAAACAATTTTTTTAATCAAGGCAAAATTCACATAAAATTAACCTTTAAAAGTAAACAATTCAGTGGCATTTAGTACATTCACAATGTTGAGAGCCACTACCTCTTTCTCATTCCAAGACATTTTCATCACCCCCAAGATGAAACCCCGTGCCCCATTAATCAGTTGCTTTCATTTCCCTCTCTGCCCTGCCCTTGGCAACCACCTATCTACTTTCTATCTCTGTGGATTTGCTCATTCTGGACATTTCATATAAACAGAATTATATAGTATTGGGCCTTTTGTATCTGACTTCTTTCATGGAGTAACATGTTTTGAAGGCCCATCATATATGTGGTAGCATGTTTCAGTACTTCATTTCTTTTAAGGTTGAATAATATCCCATTGTATGGATGTACCACATTTTCTTTACTCATGCATCAGTTGACTCATGTTTGGGTTGTGTCCACCGTTTGGCCATTGTGACTAGAGCTGCTGTAAATGTGCACGTTACAAGCATTTGTTTGCATACCAGTTTTCAGCTTTTTTGTTATATACCTAGGAACAGAATTGCTGGACTGAGGGTATTTTTAAAAATTATGTTTTTATTTATATTTTAGAGAGAGAGGATGGGTGATGGTGAGAGAGATAGAAATATCAATATCAATCAGCTTTCCCCTGCTTGCTCCCCACTGGGGATGGAGCCTGTAATGCTGGCATGTGCCCTGACCTGGAATCGAACCGTGACCTTCTGGTTCATAGGTCGACGCTCAACCACTGAGCCATGCCAGCTCAGCTGGACTGGGGGTATTTTTTCAGGAAAGAATAAGAGTAAATGACTGAAAGTTCTGGGAGGGGGCAAGGAAAAGGAAAGGCAGTCTTCATCCTGATTGTATGTGAAGACCTGTGAGGAAATGTGACTCAAAAGCTGCACCTTTGAGCAAGCCTGTAGTTTCTTCCTGTGTTCCACTCCTGGGCCTGTTCGGACTTTTGCATCTTTGTTAACTTTGGCCATCTCAAAGAGGGGAATTCACCTGAAAATGACAAAGATTTTCTGTTTGTGAGGAGAATTAGAGGAATGTGCCAGTGGGCTTTGAAGGACTATATTCCTAGGACTCCTCTCTGAAGTTTCCAGAGAGGAGTCCTAGGAATGTGGTGACCTCGGGCTGCTTTGATAGAGCCCTCCTGTGACCTCTTGGTGGGGACGGCAGTCCTATGAATGCATAGGTTTCAGTATGCTGGTTAAGCAAGCACATTACTTTATACTCTGTAGTCTTGCCTTGTGGTAATTTCTCCCTCCCTGACTTTATTTTATTTTTATTTATTTATTTATTTATTTATTTATTTATTTATTTATTTATTGGTTAATCCTCACCCGAGGATATTTTTCTATTGATTTTTGGAGAGAGTGAAAGAGAGGGGGAGAGACACATGGATTGGTTTCCTCCTGTACACACCCTGGCCAGGGTTGGGGATTGAGCCTGCAACTGAGGTACATGCCCTTGACTGGAATTGAACCTGGGATCCTTCGGTCCGCTGGTCAATGCTCTATCCACTGAGCCAAACTGGCTAGGGCTCCCTTCCTTTCTTTCCCATATATTATGTTCTTACTATGTTCTAGGCACCTGGGCTTAGGTACCAAGGAGACAGCGATGAACAAGACAGATGTGGTCCCTGTCTTTATGATGTCATCCCTGGATCTCCTAGCACACCTAGCACAGGGCTAGGCACAGAATAGACACCATTGCTTTAGGAAGAAATCACTGTCAACTCTCAAGTGACATGGTACAGAAGAGCACATAAGCTGGCATTTGTGACCTCAGAATTGTTTCTTAGAATGAACAAAAGATCTAATATACTTGACTAAAGGTTTTCCATTCTGGCTGCTCAGCCATTACTTTGAAAGCTTCTCTCTGGCTGCCTTTTCCTACTGGAAAAAACCCTTTATCTCTAGAATGCTACTAAAAAATGACTCCTTTCATCAGGTCACAACAGCTAAGAGGTATTTTTGCTGATAGGATATGTGAAGATAAAGGTAGGTTGGAATGGGTAGGACCTTCCATCAGGGGAAAATAGCTCTGCTTCTTTAAGAGTGGATGCCTGCTCCCTTCCTCCTGGGATTTCATTTTCAAGGGGCACCTTCCCCTCATCTGTGCCCTGTGGACCCTCCCGTCCTGTCGCCCATGTGTCCCTTAAGGGCTGGTGGCATCCATAGACAGCTAAATCAGCTTGCCAATTGCACGAGGTGGCGTATTGGTAACCGCAGGGCCATGTGCCCACAGATGACACAATTGAATTTGTCATTAAAGACCTGCTGTTTGTCCACGTGGGGCTGAAAATTGAAACAGTTCCACTAGATGAAGCGTAGCTAGGAAACAAGGAGGCTAAGTGGTGACCTGATGTCTGTCCTCAGATCAAGTAAGCAAAAGGTGGTTTACAATTTTTTTTGTGGTAAAGTACTTATAACACAATTCATTACCCTAATAATTTGAAAGTGTACAACTGAGTGGTATTAAGTGTAGTCACAGTGTTGTACAAACATCACCACTATCAGAACTTTCTCATCACCCCTAAAGGAAACCCCGTACCCATTAGGCAGTCACTGCCTGTTCCCTCCCAACCACCAATCTGCTTTTGTCTCTCTAAATGTGCCTGTTCTGGGTATTTCATATACATGGAACCATAAGATATATGGCCTTTTGTGTCTGGCTTACTTCACTTAGTATGGTGTTTTCAAATTTCATCCAAATTGGAGCATGTATTAGCACTTCATTCCTCCCTGTGGCTGAATAATAGTCCATTGTATGGATATACCAATTTGCTTATACCTTTATCAGCTAAATGACATTTGGGTTGTTTCCACTTTGGAGCTATTATAAATAGAGCTGCTGTGAGCATTTGGGTGTTAGTTTTTGTTTGAACACCCATGTGAAAGGTTTTTGTGAGGATAAACTTGGCCATTTACTAGATTTTTTTTTATTTTGTTTGGTTGTTTTGCTTTTTTGTTAATCCTCACCCGAGAATAGTTTTCCATTTATTTTTTGAGAGTGGAAAGGAGGAAGAGAGACACATAGAAACATCGATGTCAGAGAGACACATCGATTGGTTGCCTCCCACACGGGTCCCTGACCAGGGCAGGGAATCCAGCCTGCAACTGAAGTACGTGCCCTTCACCCCTTGACCAGAATGAAACCTTCAATCCACAGGCCGACAAAGTGGCTAGGGCTCCTAGATGGTTTTCAAAGATGAAACAGGAATTGTGCTTCCTTATCTTAGTTTGGATTGGGGAGATCATGATTTGGATAAATAAACATTATGACCAGCAGGGAATTAAAGTCCTGGGATAGGTCTAGGATTCTGCTGGCAGAGTAATTGCCCTGCACCATTTAAAGCAGGGATCTGAGATCTAAATGCCTTCAGGCTGATCCTATAAAAGAGCAGAGCAGGCTGGGTGGGGACTGTTGAATTGGACAGCAGCACTGGTCACCTCTCCCTCCAGCCAACTGTTGACATACAGGAATGTGGATTCAGTGTGGCCAGATCTTCTAATATTTTTTTCAAGAGAAGTTGGAAATCTGGGTGTTTTTTTTTTTTTTTTAAGTGAAAGCTCTCAGTTTTAAAATGACGGACAATAATAATAATAGTAATTATTGTTATTGTTGTTTGTTTAAAACACTGGGCCAACCCCCAGGTAGTCAGTGGGCTAGATTTGGCTCCTGGATGCTGGCTGCAAATTGTGATTGATAGTCAGGAGATCGCTCTCTCATCACTCCTAACCCCTCTCTTAGTCCTCTCCTTCTCCTATGTGCCTAAGCCCATGTGTACGTACTTTGCTAAAGATTCTTTATTCTGCCTACCCTCCTTGTCTCACTGCCTTCTCTTTTATCAGATCACCTTTCGGATCTTCAGGGCCGTGCAGAGGGTGATCCTGGTGTATCCTGGGACTTCTACAGCAGCTCCGTATTGGGTAAGTTTGTGGTGGGATTCTCCTCCCACCCCCATCCCTATCTATGGCTCAGCGATGCGGGATTTGCTTTGTATTTCACTAATTCTTCTTAAAGGCCAGAGTGACCCTGTGGAAATCGCTTTTCTTCCCCTGTTACTGTTAGGAGCTTATAGACCTTTCAGCCCGAACTCTAGTGCTTGCCTCCCCTAGACTCAGAACTCATTGGCCTAAACTAGGCGATGCTGCTTATTTGGAAAAAGCTATCATTAGCCCTCTACCACCCCCACCCTGTATTATTTCTTTTTCTCTGCCCTTGTTTTGTCCTAACCCAGCCAGGAGCACCACCCCCATGCACATTGTCACCTTTTGTGGTATTGCTCGCACTCAAGAAATACCCAGCCCCTCGTCTGGCAGCTGCTGCTCCCTCCCTTCCCTGGCCCCACAGTGTGTACAGTTTCTGAGATAGCTGCCATCTCCCGAGCCCTTCGCCTTCTGGCCCAAGCTTTCCTCTCTGAGAAGAGCAGCCAGTCTTTGTCTGTGTCAATCATCTACCATTCACGTCAGGCCAGGGTCTGCGGACTGAGGGAGGTACCAGCCAAGCTTCAGGGAAGCCAGAGCAGGAGAAAGTGGGGACAGAGTGAAAAACACTATACCCAAACACATGTCTGGGTAAGGGAGCTGGCCGAGCTACCTCTGGGCTTTTAGAGATTCCAGCAGGCAGTTGGGGTGGTTTTGGGAAACGGGGGGAAAGTGAAGAACAGATGTTTTTACCTTGCCTTTGATCGTGATGGTATCTTCAGATTTTCATCTCCAGCAGTGGAGCAGCTCATCCTTCACATCACCTTGCTTTTTTTTCAACTGAAAGGTGGAGTAGTATAATGAATCTCTGGCCTCAAAAGATTACTATCTTCCAGTGCTGGAACTTTTGTGTGCCGCGGCATTATGGAATCTTAGCCTTAGCCAGGGGTCTGTAGGCTTGTTGTTTATCGTCTTATCACCCACCTTCATACCCCTTTGTCTTTTTGTTGTTGTTGTTAATGCTCACCCAAGGATATTTTTCAATTGATTTTTTAGAGAGAATTGAAGGGTGGGGGATAGACAGAGAGAGAGAAATGCATTGACTGATTGCCTTCCGTACATATCCTGACCCAGACTAGGCCAGGGATAGAACCTGCAACCAAGGGACATGCCCTTGACTGGAATCAACCCGAGAACCTTCAGTCCTCAGGTTCCAACCAGTGAGCCAAATCCGCTAGGGCTGTCTTTTGGTTTTGTTTTTTTTTAATCCTCACCCGAGGGTATGTTTCCATTGATTTTTAGAGAGAGACAAAGGGAGAGAAAGAGAGAAAAACACTGATGTGAAAGAGAAGCATCCATCAGTTACTTCCTGTTTGTGCCCCGGCTAGGGATCAAATCTATCTTAATCTGGGCATGTGCCCTGACTGGGAATCGAATCCGAGACCTTTCTGTGCATGGGATGAAGCTCCAACCAACCCAGAGACATCAACCAGGGCCATACCCCTTTGTGTTGTTGGAACATTTTTGTTCTTCGGTTTTGTGCATCTAGCTAAATCCCAATTCCCCATGTGCTGTCCTTACAGATGAAAAAGAAGGGTTTGCCTGTGACCTCCTACATAATCCCCCTGGGAATTCTGATCAGGAAGGAGATGAAGGCGAAAAGGATGACTTTATGTTTGAGCTCTCAGATAAGCCTCTTCTCCCGTGCTACAACCTCCAAGTGTCAGTGTCCCACGGGTAAGTGTCTGAGAGACATATGGGGACTGAGCGCCAGGATCCTGGCAACCCCTGGTCTGCCTTCCTTGGAGGGTGGAATGCTCCAGAAAGAAGCTGAGACCTAGAGACAAATGCTGCAACATGGGAAACATAATATATGACTAAGACCATCCTCACTTTCCGGTCCAGATTGGTTACATGCTCGCAACAGAGGCTGGGCTGTAAGCTCTACATTCGCTGAGTGTGTTTATTTCCCAAACCCCAAATCTAGATTCACTCTCTGAAGGAGTTTTGTGCTGTTCCCTGGGTAAAAGAGATGATCTGGGAGATATTTGGACTGATGAACTATTAGAATCTCTGGGACATTTTTGTGGTTTCTAGGGACAGCCACACAGAATATTTGAAATCGAGAGTCTAGGAAAGGACAGAACATATGGTTGCCATAGGTATGGGGCCACTGGGGTCCTTCAGTAATCCCCAGGCTGCTTTCTGACATCCTTAATGCTGCGGAAAGGATGGCATCAGTGCCGTCATCTCAGATTAACATGTATTTTATAACAGGGATCAGCCGTCGTCGGAGACTAGAATTTACCTGGCACTTAGTATTAGACTGAACCCAATTTAATCTCTATTTGATGATTCGGAAGGCTGTTGGACAGCCTACAGGGCCACGGTTCTTATCAGGTTCACCGTCCAGCAGTGTGTGGCAGTGCTGGTTAGGATGATGAAGGAAGAATTGTCCTTTTTTTCTTCGTTTTCACCATGTATTTCACTCTGGTCTCTTCTTCACATATTTCAAACACCTTTGCAAACACTTTCAAGGATACTTTTCCTTTGATACCTATTGTTAAAATATCAGATCCCTTTTTTAAGTGAAAACCCACAATAGGAGGTAAGAGTAGACAGTGGGTCAGGAATCCTTCAAGCGAGCCCCTCCGTTGAGGACTCCAACCATTCCACCGCAGATTCTTTGCACCCCTTCCCCCATGGCCAGATAAGAATAAAAATAGCCTATATGATGACACTGGTAGGGATCAAGTTTCAGGGGCTTTTGGTCCTTATTCTTCTGGGCATAAGCTGATCCCTGAGGGCGGGGCTGGGCCGCTGGGATATAGTATTGCACAGTTAATTAATTCCTCCAAAGTATTCAGCACCTCCTTCTCTGAAACAGGATCTTGGGCCAGGCAGTAAAAGGACCAGGGCAGTGTGCTCTAGGTGTGGACAGAACACAAGCAACCTGGGCGGCACGCCACTCGGCAAGCAGGGTGGCAGGGAGGTTGTTTTGTTCAAGAGCTTGGTGTGGGTAATGCCAGTTTTCCTGATGTTCCATCTTCCAGCGGCTCTTCTGAATCTACCCTTCCCCACAGCTGCAGCACGATGTGAAATTTTGTTTTTCAAGAAGTAGGGGGTTGTGGAACAGTGACTTGCCAAGGCCCTGTGTGGTTCAGAAATGCCTTCTGCATCATCAAAACAAACCTGAATTCTGATCACTAGCATCAGTGTTCTAGGGGGATTGCCATTCTTTTTTAAAAATATATTTTTATTGATTCCAGAGAGGGAGGGAGAAGGAGAGAGAGATAGAAACATCAATCGTGAGAGAGAATCATTGATCAGCTGCCTCCTGCGCATCCACAACCCAGGCATGTGCCCTGATTGGGAATCAAACTGTGATCTCCTGGTTCATAGTCATTGCTCAACCATTGAGCCACACTAGGTGGGCTGGGTTTTCCATTCTTTACTGATCCAAGTGTATGGTATTTATAGTCCCTTTCTCTTAACTCAGAGCATCCCATTTCCTGGTTGTGTAAGATGACAATTCTCACTCATTTGGAAGACATGTTGCATTTTAGGGATAAGAATTGTGGGTCTTGGTAGAAGTTTTAGGCACTGTGTAGAACCTTCAATTCCATAAACATGTCTTAAGCAGTTGCACCTTTCCAAAATGGGCTCTATTATAAATAGTACAATAGGGGTATGAACCAAGTGCCAGAGACTGTGGAGGGTGGAACGAGCAAGCAGCTACATTGGCGGAAGGCTTAACAGGTAATATGGCATCTGATCTGGGCCAGAGAGGAAAGGAGGAGGAAAGGTGTGGCATGGGCAAAGGCACTGAGACACACAAGTTTCAGCAGTTCAGAAAGCAGGGCTAGTCCTTCCCCAAATGACTGGCACTTGGGTGAGGGATACTATGTGTGTGTGTGTGTGTGTGTGTGTGTGTGTGTGTGTGTGTTGGGTGGCGATTGGCCTGAAGAGGTTAAATAAGGTCATGATGCTTGGAAGGTCTTGCATAATGTCACGCCAAAGAATTTAAAGGTTGTTTCTTTTTTTTTAAGATTTATTTTATTGATTTTTTACAGAGAGGAAGTGATAGGAATAGAGAGTTAGAAACATCGATGAGAGAGGAACATCAATCAGCTGCCTCCTGCACACCTCCTACTGGGGATGTGCCCGCAACCAAGGTGCACGCCCTTGACCAGAATCAAACCTGGGACCCTTCAATCCACAGGCCAATGCTCTATCCATGAGCCAAACCAGTTATTGCGGTTTTGATGATTTTTTTTTTTTTCTGAAGACACTGGGGGTCCACTGAAAGCTGTTTTGGGAACGAGTGAACAGGTCAGATTTTTCAAAGAAAACTAATAGTATCAGAGGGTCCAGTGAGGGTTGGAGGACAGAAACGTGACTCTTGGCAACAAGGAAACCAGCTAGGAGGCTGATGTAATATGTAATACAGCCCAGGCCAAAAGTGGCGAAGGCTGGCCGTGGGACAGTGAAATGACAAGAAGGGAAAGTCCTGGACGCAGGGACCGCTGACATGGGGCTGCAGCATTTCTTCCCGGTTCAGTCCACGCCAGTGGCCAGCCTGTGACCGGTCTCTCCTGCGCCCCACTCAGCTGTCTCCAGGCTGCCACCCAGCCGGCTGTGCTCGGTGAAGCAGCCTAGCTGTAATGTGAGCTCCGGCCCCACAGAAACGACAGTGCACTGGAGAAAATAAACTTGTCTAATGCATTCCAGAGCCAAAGAGAAATGCCTTTTGGATTACCCGCAGTTTCGGCCTTTCTCCATGGCCCCCCTCTGGTGGGGAAGATCTTGGAGAACGAGGAGGCTGAGGAAGCCTGAGTACAAACAGGGAAGAGGAACCAATGGGGCTGCAAGGGTCCGTGGCGAGGAGAACTGGTCCCCGCAGATGGTCAGCTCTGGGACGTGGTGCTGGTGAAGGCCTAGGGGAGCCTGCTAAGGGTTTTTGGCTCCAGAAGGCCCTTTCCCTCCTGCTCCCACTTTTTGGGAGAGGTCAGTCATGGGTTGAGTGCTCGCCATTTAGCTGAAAAGCCGGGCCTGTCCGTGGAACGGGCAGGAGAAAATGTTTGCCTCAGCTACACCCAAGGAGCCTCTGGTTTAGTGGTGAACGGAGGGCTGGGGTGAGGGGTAGCCAGATGGGCAGCCTTCCTGAGCCTTCCAGAGTGTTCCCTGCACGCCCACCACTTCCCCTCTACCCCCTTCCCTAACTCCCATCCTTGCTTTTTGCAGGCCCTGCAACTGGTTTCTCTTTACTGATGTCCTGAAGAGGCTGAAGCTTTCCTCCAGGATCTTCCAGGCCCGCTTCCCGCACTTTGAAATTATCACCTTGCCCAAGGCTGAGTTCTACAGGCAGGTGGCCTCCAGTCAGCTGCTGACCCCTGCCGAGAGGCCCGGAGCCATGGACGAGTGCCCCCCAGGCTCCTCTGAGACTGTGGAGCTGGTGCGGTATGAGCCCGAGATCCTTCGGCTCCTGGGGTCCGAGGTGGAGTTCCACCCCTGGAACAGTTGATGGGGAAAGCAGCTCCTCTCTTTTCTTCTTTCTCCTCCCAAGTTCACCCTTCCCCACCGCCCGTGTTTTCCCCCCACCCAGCACCAGACTGCAGAATGAGGCAATAATCCGGACCAACAAGAAGCCGCCTTACCAATGCCAGCGTTAGTGACTGGATCTTTTTTGAGGAGCGCTTTACAATTAGTTCTCATCTCCCCCGTCATGGTTCTTGTCGTGTGGTTGATGACGGGGGCGGCAAGGTAAACTCCACGTCTGAGGACAAGAGGTCCCCAGGGCGGTGGGAAGTGGCACCAGGGTCCCTTGGCCTGGCCTCCTTGTATATGACTTAAGACCAAACCTGGGCCCCGGGTGGCCTTGGCCTGTCGGGAGGAGAAAGGAGAAAAGCCTAAATCTCTGAGCGCCCCTTCCATTCCCCTGTGTTCTTCTGTCTTCCATAGTATTTATTTTATTAGTATTTAATTTGTTTTTCATTGGTTTCTGATAAGTCTGTATCACTGTGATAATTTGAGATAACTTGTATTGAGGGACTTTCTTCACCTCCTTTCTTTGTTTTTCTGCCGATAAGCTCTGGAGCTGCTCCCCCCTTCCTCCCTCTGACAGTTACTCCCAGGGTCATCCCCCCACCCCCCACAACACCACTACTGGGGAGGGTTGGAGAGGGCTGGGAGCCATCCGCTTGTGACTAATGGTGGCTGGTGCTGGCCCAGGGCTGGGGGTTTGGGGGTAAATCCTGAGGCTTTGGTGCTCCCCCGCCCCCAGTTTTTTTTCTCTCTGTTTCCTTGCCCTCTGCCCTTTGCAGCAAGCAGCCTCCCTACCTTGACATTGGTGTTTACTGGGGAAGAGACAGCATTGTGGGAGGGGGAGGGGTTGATGAGAATTGAGAGGGTCTGAAGGATGAGGTCACCTCCTGTGTTTTCTTCACTGCTCCCCTCAGAGCGCACAATATGGGTGTGTTCCTGCAGCTACGCCCCTTGCACCCCCAGCCGCCCACCCCTGTGTGCTCTTACCCCCTGTGGATACTGAGCCTCTCTGCTCCCAACCCTTTCCCCGCCCCATCTCTCTCCATCACCAGGCTCGCTGGACCCCTTCCTCTCTCTTTTTCCTCCTCCCTCTGCCCTCTATTCTACTTTGGAATCTGCAGAGGGCTCTGGGGTTGACTGCCAGATGTGAAGTCAGGCCCCAGCTGTTTCCTAGGTGAGGGCGGAAGACTGGTTCCGGGCAGGCCCCGGGGCTGAGTGAGCGGCCTCCAGCACTGGGCGTGTTCAGGGAGAGAGAGGGATGAGCTTGGGCTGCTTCCCTGATCCCACCTCCACCCCCACCCCCACCCCGGCGTGGAACTCTTTCCCACTCTTGTTCTTATTTTTCTACCAATTGCTATTTTTCCGAACAATCCTTGTAGAGAGTATGTGCCATCCAAAGGCAGGAGGGCCCAGCTGCGGCCAGCTCTGGTTGGAGATGGTACAGTTTTATTGTACAGGTGCTAAAACAACAACAACAAAAGAAGAAAATGGAGAAAAAAAAAACTCAAAAAAAAAAAAGACAAAAAAAAAGCCAGTTTGAGGATGGGGACAATCTGTTCTCTGGAGCCTCCTGACCCATTCAGGAGCATTGGTGGTTATTTTCTTTGTATTGTGTTTGTTCTTTGTTCCCAGGGGAGGGTCTCAGCCCCCTTCTGTGGACTGCTCCCCACTCCCGTCAAACTGCCCCGTTGGTTTTGAAGTTGTTCTCCCTTTTAAAACAAAACAACAACAAAAAATATATCTATATATATATAAAGTTGAGGGGTTTTGGGTTTTAATTTTTCTGTTCTGTTGGGGTTCATGGTATTTTGTGGTTTGTTTTGTTTGCCTTTACTTTTTTGCATTTGGGTGTATATTCTGGCTGACCTTTATGTTTCATTTTAAGCAACTGGCTGTGGAGTCAAAAACACTTGCATACTGAAAAACCCGTGTCAGGGCTTCTGTCTCCTGTCTCTCTTTACTCTCTGCATTGGCTTCTCCGTGTTTGAAGAAGATGGGCATCGTGGGGAGGACAGAGGGGAAATCCCTGATTCTGCTTTGCAGTTTTGGGTCCTTCAAAGGACAACTAAACAGGGCAGGTTGGAGTGGCTAGTGAACATTTATGTCACTGGGTCTGGATAAGGAAAGGGAAGAGCAAGAGAGCGGAGGGGAGGGGAGGGAAGGAAAGGGGAAGGGAGGGGAGGGGAGAAAAGGACAGGGAAAGGGAGGGGAGGGGTGGGGAAAGGAGAGGAGAAAAAGGGAGGTAAGGGAAGAGACAAGTTCTGGGGTACTGGCTGGTGGGGAGAATTGATCACCTTCATTGATTGAAGGTGTGTTTGTGTGCTCAGGCTTGTGAGTGCATATGTATGTGTGTGCATGTATATGCATGTTGGAGGGAAGAATACTCTTTTTAAAAAATATATTTTATTGATTTTTTACAGAGAGGAAGAGAGGGATAGAGAGTTAGAAACATCCATGAGAGAGAATCATTGATCAGCTGCCTCCTGCACCCCCCCTACTGGGGATGTGCCGCAACCAAAGTACATGCCCTTGACCGGAATCGATCCTGGGATCCTTCAGTCCAAAGGCCGACGCTCTATCCACTGAGCCAAACCCGTTTCGGCCCATTTTTTAAAAAATAAAATATGTTTTATTGATTTTTTACAGAGAGGAAGGGAGAGGGACAGAGAATCAGAAACATCAATGAGAGAGAATCATTTATCAGCTGCCTCCTGCACACCCCCCTATTGGGGATGTGCCTGCAACCAAGGTACATGCCCTTGACCGGAATCGAACGGGACCTTTCAGTCCATAGGCCGACACTCTATCCACTGAGCCAAACCGGTTTCAGCAAGAATACTCTTTTAGGTGGCTGTGAGGAATGGTCCTCTCTCACTCAAGGAAATCACCTGCCTCCTGACTCTCTTTCCTGCCCTGGACCACCCACATTGGTGTCTGACTGCAGAGCCTTAACCACAGCCTCACTGTTGGGCCAGTGTCCTGGCTGCCCACCCACATAGTACAGACCTTCCGAGGTTCTGTTTGCCTAAGATCCAGCTGTTATGGAGGCAAGATGCTCCGCTTGCCTGGATGCCCTGGGTTTTATAACTTTTCTCCCCACTTCTGAAAAACAGTGGTGGAAGCCAAGGAGCACAGCTTGGACTTCTGCCTTAGGTGATACGGAACCGTGGGGAACTTTAAGCTGGGTAGTGACAGTGCTTTGTTTTTGTTTTAATAAATTGCTAAAAAAAAAAAAAAAAATGTGTTGAAGAAGGTAGGGCAGGTAGAGAGAGGAATAGGAAACTGCTTAGATTCCCCCCAAGAAAAAGATGAAGGGAGAGTGGTGGGGGTTGCACAAGGATTTCCTTTTAAGATAGGAAGCAGATGCTGTGGCAAAGTCAGAATGGCCCGAAGGAATAGTGGTTTGGGGAGTTATGGACAGCTACAGGCATTTGGGTTTGGTTATGTGGGTGCTCTCACCCCATTGGTCCCCTGAAGAAAGGCAGCTAAAAGTGGAACCCGTTTATTTCTTTTCTCAATTTTGGGTTCCTTTCCCCCAGACATTTCCTGAGTCCTCTCTCTGCCCTTCTGCCCAGGTTAGGAAGATCAGAGTAGGAGGTATGGACGATGATATGAGATCTGCATCCCTGGTGGAAATTGGGGCAAAGCCTCTTATGAAATGACCTCCTAATCCTTTCAGTGTGGTCTAGGGCCGTGGTCCGCAAACTGCGCACACAAGCCACACGTGGCTCTTTGGCCCTTTGAGTGTGGCTCTTGCACAAAATACCATGGCCTGGGCAAGTCTATTTTGAGGAAGTGCTCTTAGAAGCAATTTAAGTTTAAAAAATGTGGCTCTCAAAAGAAATTTCAGTCGTCGTGCTGTTGGTATTTGGCTCTGTTGACTAATGAGTTTGCCAACCACTGCTTTGGGGGAAGGGCCATCTTCACCACTTACCACCTAGGTTGGTTAACCTTGGGCGAGAGCCTAATGTTTCCGAGCCTTAGTTGCTCCATCTGCCAAATGGGGCTCAATTTACCGATTAGGGAAGAGAGTCCTATTGAGTAAACATGGCTGCTGAGCTCGAAGTTAGTTCGTCCCACACACTCAGGTCATGAACCTACAGTTAATGACGTTCTTACCAGACTTCCTCTTTGGGGTGAGGGGTTGAAACGGAGGTCCTATTCAAGGGTCCAAGGGTCCCTATTCTGGGAGAAAAGGACCATCCACTGTGTCTGCATCCCTATTTGGGTGGCTGGATGGGGTGGGGTCGGATTGGGTAGTAAACCCCTGCCCCACCCTTATTCTAATCTCCAACGGGGAAGCTCATTAGGTATTTCTCTTGTGTCCTATCCTAAGATGTACGCGCGCATGGTGTGTGTGTGTGTGTGTGTGTGTGTGTGTGTGTGTGTGTGTGTGTGTGTGTGTGTGAGGGAGGATGGGGTCTGCCTTCTTGGCTATGTAGGGCGGTGGTTGGGGGGGAGGGAGGGGCGTACAGTGCTCTGGCTTTCTGCACCCCGCAACGGGCCGGTCCAGGCCTCCACGTGTTCCCCTAGAACACGGATTTCCACCTGGGGACGGGATGGGGGGCTGGCTAGCCTACAGCGTCCGGCTGCTGGGCACAGATACATCCCCTGGCTCACTTAGCGGGAGGTTGGGGCCCTCTGTTGCCAAGCCCATGTAGCGGGCTCCCTGCCCTGGTCTCTTTCCGACTTTAAGGTGGAAAGCGGCGCTGCGTGAAAGTGTAGTTAAAGACAGGCTATGGAGGGGAGGGGAGCCAGGCCGGGAACACTCGCGCCCCGGCCAGGAGAGCGTGGCAGCTGGGCTGCTGGGCCCGCCTCGTGCTCACCTGCTCGTCAGGGAGGCTGGGGGAAGGGGGCAGGGCCAGGGGCGGGACCATGGCACAGCCAGCCAATGGGAGGAGGGCATTCCACCGATCGAGCGCTGCATTTCCCTTGGAAAGTGGAGGGAGGGGACAAGAGCCAGGGAAAGTTTGAAGCTACCCAGCCATGGAAGGCCTTGGCGGGGTGTCAGAGTCACACCGGGATAGTTGGGGGCGCAGGGTCAAGACATAGAGACTAAAAAATGCCAACCCTGACCGCCTCTGCCAGGAGCTGCAGGCTCCTGTTGCCTCTCCTTCCCTGGGTTCCTTGGGGCCACCAGCCCGCTGTCCTCGGCTGGACAGCGCCCCCTGCTGGACTTCGGCCCCCACGTCAGGCGTGCCAGGGACGAGGCTCTGGGAGGCTGCAATGGCCTAGGCCTCCCAGCCCTGGGAGCTGCCTGGAGACGAATAAGCTCACTCGCCTCAAATCCAGCAACTTTGGAGCTGGGGGCAGTGGCATATTTAAAAATATGCGATGGGGTCAGAAAGATCTGTGCTCGTGAGAATAACTTCTTGCCCTGCCCCTCTCACTGGGCTCGACCTTTCTGTCACTCAGTCCCACTCCGGAATGAGGAAATGAGCGTGAGGCTGTCCCAGGAAGGGGCAACAGCTAAGGGCAGGAGTTCAGAGTTGCCCACAACACCTGGAGACAGCAAGGCACAGCTGGAAGCAGCCTTAGGCTCCTTGTGGCCACAGACCCAGGCAAAGAAAGCAGATGCCTACAGTGTTACATGAGGAGTAAAAAAAAAAGCTGTGGTAGCCCCCAAGTATGGGTTGTCCTCCCTCCCCTCTTGCCTGCCACAGCATAGGGCTGAAATCCCCATGGTGATATAGAGGACTCGTTCATTCTTTCAATAAACATTTATTGAGCACCTACTGTGTGCCAGGCACCGTGCTAGGCGCCGGGGATACATCAGTGACTAACACACAGTCCCTGTCCATAAGGAGCTCACAGTCTATTGGAGGGGAAACAAACATATAACTAAGGACCTACATGCGCTAAGTGCTACAGTAAGAGGTATATACAAAGTGCTGTGGGAGCCCAAAGTGGGGAATAATACATCAGCTGCTGGGGGCGAGGAACGAGTCTCTTGACTCCATTAACCTATCACATAGGCAGGGATGTTCTTGCCACACAACCCTGGTTAAAAGAAACCTGTCTTCTGGTTCTCCTCTAGCCCTCTCCCATAACTCTATCAGCACAGGTTAGTTTATCATATTAGCTAATTTAACGCTTTGAGTTAGGAAAGAAACTGACAGGGAAGTTTCTTTAGGGGTAGGGGACATTCAAAGTAGTAACAACTCTTGAATGTAGAGGCTGGGGGTGGGGAGGCCACGAGGGCACTGAGCCAGGGAGTGCGGGCCCTGGGCAGTGGAGCACCTGGGTGAGGGCCTGTGCAAAGGAGAGGTCAGCGTTACCCACCTCACAGTTTGGTCCCCATCACTCACCAGCTCACTCAGTAACCATTTGCTGATGCTCACTACATGATTATGTGGTATGCCCTGCTCTGTGGGGGCTACATACCCCCGCCCCTCAGAAAGCAACACACTAATGGGGATGATGAAATAAGTCCAGCTCATTGAAGACTTAAGTAACAGTTTGTGATTATAACAAAGGAGATGTCACAGGCTGTTTGTGATCAGTTGCCAAAAAAGTGGAAATTGCTACATTAAAAAACAAACAGCTGAAGCCGGTTTGGCTCAGTGGTAGAGCATTGGTCTGCGGACTGAAAGATCCCAGGTTCGATTCCAGGCAAGGGCATGTACGTTGGTTGCGGGCACATCTCCGGTAGGGGGTGTGCAAGAGGCAGCTGGTCGACGTTTCTAGCTCTCTATCTCTCTCCCTTCCTCTCTGTAAAAAATCAATAAAATATATTTTTTTTAAAAAAACAAACAACAACAAAAAACTGCGAGAAGGCAGCTTCCAGGAACTGAGTTTCGAAGGATGGAGAGCATTCAGTTGGTGCTAGCGGGATGGGTGGAGCATTCTGGTTAAGTAGAACCAGGTAAAGCAAGAACACAGAAGTGGGAAACTTGAACACAGAAGTGGGAAACTTAAATGTGTCCAAAGGCCAGTGAGTGTATCAGTTTGGCCGGAGCAATACGTTGGGGGTGGGGGAAACAATGTGAAAAATGGGAAGTCAGATGGGACCCGATGGTTAAGGACCTTGCTGGAAGGTCAAGGACTTGGGACCTTGTCTGAAGACAGGGCTGATGCTACGCTCAAAATGCTTTTGGAGCTACTGCCCTGAGTCTTAAAGTGTCCCCCTAACCCCTCCTCCAGGACCCCCGGACTGCCTCGTAAGTCAGCAAATAAAAAGGTTAATGCCCAGCTGCCTGGAATGGATAAGAGCTTATCCTGAGTCGCACCCTGTAGGCAATGAGGAGCCCCTGAAAGCTTCCTAGAAGATCAGAATTGGCGCCCTGGCAGCTTGGAGGGGACAGGGCAGGTCACAGTGGGGCTCTGGAAGAGTCTGGGGATGGAGGGGATTAAGCTCTGGGTAGTCTGAGGCTCTGGGAATGTGGAAGTAAGGTCCGATTTGAGAGACATATTAAATGGCACTGGACTTCAGGAGATGTGGGAAGGGACAGGGTCAAGTGAAGGCGGCCTTCAAATGGCTCTGAAATGTCAAATTTAGAAAGTCAGAAAGATGGTGGCATCATAAACAGAAATAGGCACGGCATGACAGCTTTTTTCTTTTTCTTGGAAAGGTTTTGTGTGCCTATGTGGGAGCTTTCAAAATTGACTTTTGGGAGGGGGGGTACCTTTGAGGACCTGGCAGGCATCTGGGTGGAAATGTCCAACAGACCCCTAAGCACGGGAGCCAGGAGCTGAGGAGAGACATGGGGGCTGTGGCTCTCGATGTTGGACTCATCCTCAAAATGCTGATTCAGAGCCAAGAGGATGGATGGGACCCTGGGGGATGCCTATACCGAAAGCGGTAGATCCGGAGCCAGCATTGCACAGAGAATAGGGGACAGGGGGCAGAGTTGAGGACGGCTAGTTCAGAAGGTGACGGGAAGTAATGTGACATGCTGAGGGCTCATAGGGACCAAGAAATGTGAACACATTTGGTGTCACCATGAAAATATCAGTGACCTTCAGATGATGAGTTCTATGGAGTTGGTGAGTAAGAGAGGGCCACCCCTAACCCATGCAGTGTCTTTATACAAAAAAAAAAAGAAAAGAAAGAAAGAAACTTTCTCAAAATGCTTTACTTTCCACCATCAGGAAATTGTCATAATAAACTGATTTATTTTTTTTAAAAAGGCACTTTAATGCCAAGTGCTGGAGATGTGTAATAAATACACCTGCACAACCGTATATAATTTCCCCACCCCCCAGGGGAAAACAGAATAAAGTGAGAGAGGATGAGAGCGGGCTTGGCAGTGACCGGAAGGAGAGCGAGAAGAGCAACCTGGGGAGGTAGTTAGATCGAGTGGATGGTTTTGCACCGAGGACATAGCAAAGGTCCTGAGGCACTGATTCACATTAACCAAATTCACCAGATAACAATTGTTTCCAAGGCTGACAGGTCTTAGCTTTGCCCTCCACATTTGGCAGGAGAGAGACAAGCTAATGCACAGGAAGGAGCGTGAGGAGATCTGGCCTTCTGCGGAGGAGTTGACTTTAAGAATCAGTGGCCATTTAGAAAGAGGAAAGCAGGAAGCCAGAAGCCATGGAGAGACAAAAGTGCCAAGGGGGCTCAAGTCTCCTGGCTCCCGTCTCCTTGGGGAAGAAGGAATCGGGGTCAGGAGTGGAAGTTGGAGAAGAGGGGTGAAAGTCCACGTGAACATCTGCTGTAGCCACGGTGGTGGCGGGTGGGTTGGCAAACTTACGAGATGAGTAGAAGACTGGCTGGCTGCGTGGCAGGCACATATGATCAGTGATGGAGGCAGATCCAATTGACATTGCTAACACAACTATCCCCACCATGCCTGGCGGCAGGAAAATATCCGGAGCGAAATTAATTAAGAGGGAACCCAGAATTCGAGGTGTAGGCCAGGCACAAAGCCTGGTCTTACAGCCCCGGCCCTCAGTACAAACATTCAATTAATTCAGCTCTGCCTAGAGACTCCGCTGGGTCTGACCCTGGAGGGGCATTCTACCCCCCTCTAACCTTTCAACACAGCGGTCAAGGTTCCAAGCATGCTGGCAAGTGACTGATGGGCCACGAGGCCACGTCCAGGAAGAAGGCCTCAGTCTAGAGTGGGCTGCTCCCCAGGGCCGAGTTCCCTCTCTTTATGCTTTTATCCCGTGTGGCCTTCTCCTGTCCTTTAGAATTGCGTTTGCTCCAATGCATACACCAATGGGAGCCTTCTATCCAAACCTGCTCCAGCTCTGTGACATCTCTCCAGATTTGGGGGACCCAGCCTGCACCCCCATAGTCTCAGAACAAACGAGTCTTGGTTTGTACAAAGGGGACTAGGGAATGTTTTTCCTTAAAACAAATCCTCATCTCTGCGGCTGATGAGTGCGCGGAGACACATGTTCTTGAAGACCTCACAGCTTCACCCTTGTCCTCTCCAAAGAAACGAAGATACAGTCCCGTAAGTACACACGAATACATACTGGAATATTCACATATGGGATAGTCACTTCCCTGCTGAGGGAACATGGATGGTGAAATACAGCCAGGTGAACATGAATCCCCATGAAGTCCCTGCTCCCACCCTGGCCACCAACTTCTCAGGAGGTTATCCCCTCATCATTGCACCATCCCATTTCCCTGGCAAGAGCATATCCCCTAGTGCTCTTGTAGGCTATGGTCTCATTCCAGGAATGCTCAAACTGGGCATGGATTGATCATGTGACCTCAGGCAGAGGTGAGGGATAGGGTAGTCTGGTATATTGACATTCCACCAAAATGGAAGGGCAGGCAAGCTACTTGTTAGTCTGCTAGAGGCAGTCCATATGAAAATGCTGCTCAGCTTTGCCTGGTGGGTCACACTTCCCCAACCCTCTGTTTATATGTTGTGGGGCTCCGTTTTAATGAGCGAAGTGGGGTTGAATGGGAAGGGGGCTGGGGTTGGGGATTTAGTCAGCACGGTCCCAGATGTGGTCACACTAGGCTCAGCCATCACCAGGGACCCTGAGCCTGAGGAGAGCTCAAGTTCAGCCACCGGGGTCAGCCCAACAGTGGGGCGGCTGGGAGGAGAGAAAGTCTGGTTTCCCAGAAGACTCAGATTGTGGGAGCCCCTTGAAACCACATGGGTTGGAAGTGGCTGAAGGTGAGCCTGATCCCTCAGAAGCTCCCTCAGGGTCTCTTCAGGAACCAGCAGCCCCTCCATGGGGGCCCCAGTCACCATGCCCTGCACATATGAGTTGGGTCTCAGCGACCCATCCTTGACCCCAGGGGCTGCTGTGGCACTGGAAGTCCTGATGAAGGCAGCAATGACAGTCCCCGGGGGCTGAGAGCTGGGGCCTGCTACTCCAGCCCCTGCAACAGAGCCTGCTGTTGGATTGGTCGAACGGTTGGCCCCAGCCAGAAGTTGGGGGAGGCCACTGAGAATCAGTGGGGTCCCCGGTGCTGCCACCTGGCCCTCCTGGAAGCTGGCATTCAGGGGGAAAGAGGCCTGCAAAGTGAAGGTGTCCTTGAAGGTCGAAGCAGGTGGAACACTCTGGAGAACGAGCTGGGTCGAAGCAGTAGTACTGGCAGGAGGGCCATTGGTGAGCACTGTAGTCAGGGGGATCGTCTGCAGGGTCAAGGCCGAGGCTGACCCCACAGGGGCCACTCCTAGGTGGATGTTGCCAGGCACTGACGAAGCGCTGAGAAGAAACAGAAAACAGATTTGGTTCAGGCAGCAGGCACCTCCCGACTGGCTAGAAAGGAGGCCACAGGAGGAAAGGAGTCAAAGGTGTTTTGTTTTTGTTTCCGTTAGCATTGAGTGCTTAGTCAAGGACACTAAAAATGACTGATATTCACTATTTCCCTCTATCTTCAAAATAGCCCATGGGCTGCCTGGCCACTGTGGCTCAGTGGATGAGTGAATCAGGAGGTCAGGGTTTAATTCCCAGTCAGGGCACATGCCCAGGTTTCGGGCTCGATCCCCTGGATCCTGCAGGAAGCAGCTTATCAATGATTTTCTCTCATCACTGAGGTTACTCTCTCTTGCTCGCCTTCTTTTCTGAAATCAAAAAAAAAAAAAAAAAGAAAGAAACAAAACAAAAATAGCCCACGAGTATAATAAAATTAATAATTGGATCTTATAGCTTGAAGAAACTGGGCCACAGAGAGGTTATGTCACTTGCCCTAGGTCACACAGCTAATAGGAGGACTCTCGTCTAGGTTTTCTGACTCCAGAGCCCATGTCCTCGCTGCTCCACTCTACCACCTTTTCTCCTTTACAAACGCATCTCAGTGACTCATGCCAGCGGAGTGAGAGCCACACACTAGTACACACAACTCAGACAAAGCCCAACCTTTTCAGGGAAAATTGGAAGCACTTCGCATGGGCAAGAGGTATCAAGAGCTTTCCATGTGCGCCTGAGGAAAGCAGATGGGTGTCCCTGTAACGTTCTCTGTTTGTTGCCTCCTTTTTGGAGTGGAGGAGGCTTAGGGAGAGAGACCCAAATGTGGAGGCCTCTTCTGGTTGTTTGGGGAGCCCTATGGGGTAACAAGAATAGCCCCAGCTGGTGACACATGTCCCCCAGGTCAAGAGCTGGCTTTGCCATCACTTTGGTGTGTGACCTCAGGCAAATTGCTTTTCCTTTCTTGACCAAGTGCCCTACTGGCTTCTCAGGGGTCCTGCCAGGGTCCCATGAAGCTAGACCCACAGCAGAGCTTTGCAAGAAGTTGAAAACGGCTCCCCACAGCACGAGGAACTATGGGAAGACTCATGACAATGTGGGTGCCCTTACCTCACAGCTTTGGTGAGTTTAGCCTGGCCCTCTGGTGGAGAAACCAGCACAGTGGAGGTAGTGGGAATCTCCTCATCTGGAGACAGGCCCAATTCCAGACTTGCAGATGACTGCAGACCGACCTGCTGAACCTTCGGCTTCTCCCAGGGAGGGCTGCCCTTGCCCTGGGGAGCGGCTCTGGATGAGACCCTGGAGCTGGCTCGCCGGGTAGTGCTGGTGGAGGTGGAGGCCTTAGGGGATGCCTCTGCCACTTCGCTTTTCTCGTCCTCATCTTCAATCACCACTAAATCCTTGGGCATCTCTTTAAACTGGTACACCAGCCTCTGCCCTTCCACTTTGGCAAGGATGCCCCTTTGGTAGTAATACCTGGGGGAAAGGATTGAGAAGTTAGCCAGGGGCATACCACTCTCAGGGCAGGGCAAACATGAAAAGGAGCCTGGCCAGGAAGCAGATGGGAGCTCAAGGACAAGGGTAGTTGGAAGGCCAACACTTGGATTTGTAGAATTTTATGACATTTCTGAGATCTCCTGAGGACTCAACGTGTCCATAAAAAGGGGTTTCAAATGCCAACCTCCACCCTGTGTTGGAGCAGAGGACAGGGCGTGAGTGAAGAACAAGAGAGGATGGATGGATGATCAGCAGTTTTCCAGTCTAAGACACCAGCTGTGGGTAACTCTGGTCCGTCTACCTAGATCTCTGGCTTGAAGAATGTGAAGGAATACCTTGGCTCAGTGGATAGAGCATCAGCCTGCTCTATCCTGGAGGGTCCTCGGCTTGATTCTGATCAAGGGCACATGCCCGGGTTGCAGGCTCAATCCCCAGTGTGGGGCCTGCAGGAAGCAGCCAATCAATGGTTCTCTCTCATCATTTATGTTTCTTATCTCTCTCCCTCTCCCTTCCTCTCTGAAATCAATAAAAATACATTTTTTAAAAAGGAAGACCTTCTTGCCCTAGCTGGTTTGGCTCAGTGGATAGAGCATCGGCCTGCGGACTCAAGGGTCCCAGGTTCAATTCTGGTCAAGGGCATATATATACCTTGGTTGCGGGCACATCCCCAGTAGGGGATGTTCAGGAGGCATCTGATCGATGTTTCTCTCTCATTGACGTTCCTAGCTCTCTATCCTTCTCCCTTCCTCTCTGTAAAAAAAATCAATAAAATATATATTTTTTTAAAAATAAAAATCCTATATAATATGCAAATCAACCAAATGGGGGAATGACTGGGTCGCTATTATGCACACTGGCAACCAGGGGGCAGGCACGCAATGCAGTTGCTGCCCCCTGGTGGTCAGTGTGCCAGAAGCTGGTCTCATAGCTGGTGAATGCAGCAGCGGAGGTGGGAGCCTCTCCCTCCTCCGCGTGGCAGGGCTAAGGATGTCCGACTGCCAGTTTAAGCCCCCTCCCCAGGCGGGCCTAAGCTGGCAGTTGGACATTCCCGAGGGTTCCCAGACAGCAAGAGAGCTCAGGCTGGGCTTAGAGACTCCCTGAGTGCAAGAATTTCGTGCACCAGGCCTCTAGTAAATAAATAAAAGGAAGAATTTCTTGGGGATGGGATGCCATAAAATGCTCTTCTATCAAGAAAGAAAAGGCTAGGACAGAGCTGCAAGAGGAAGGAATTGTTCCTTCCAGAGGGGGCCTGGGAGTGGCTTAGGGCAAGCAGATGGGAACATTAGGAAACCCTATAGCAGGAGGGCCTCCTTGCACATGAGGAAGAGCGTGGTGATTCTTCCAGGGCAGGGACCTCCTACCTTAGAGCCCTCCCCATTGTCTCGTAGTTCATGTCAGGCTTGTTCTTCTGCTTCCCCCAGAGCTTTGACACAGCTTTGGAGTCCACCAGCTTGAAGATGCCTTTCTCTCTCTGGGTCCACTTGATGTACTTGGGGCAGGTGTTCCTGTCTTGCAGAAGTGCCAGGAGGAACTCCCACAGATATATGGTGTTGCCTGAAAAGGACTAGGTGGTGAGGGGTGGCCCAGGCACCCGGCTCCCTTCCCACCCCTGCTCCCCTGACTCCCAGCCATACCTTTGCCATCCTTAGATTTCTTCCGAATGGGGATGCTGGGGTCAGTGACAGGCGAGGTACTGCGGTTGCCCTTTGTCTTCCGGACTGAGGAGAAGGGGAGAGCAGGGTGAGGCTGAGACCACGGCAAGTGCTGCAGCCCAGACTCCCAAGAGGGAGGGCCTGGAGCTTATCAAGTTGGGTGTGACAAGGCAGACAAGGGAGAGCCCGGGATCGTTCTCCTTGGCCACAGCTCCCAGTATGTGCACCTGCCCAATGGGCCACCTTCATTTTCAGGCCCCAGAACAGCATTACAATGTGGGGCAATGAGTCACCTTTAGATCAGAATCCACCTACACTAAGTTTTAAAATGAAAAGGCAGCCTAAAGGTGTGACTGTTGTGCAGGTGAGTACACCACTGGGGTTTTGGTTGCCATGATGACGAGGCAGTCTCAACCAGCCATCACCCAAGTAAATCAATAACACAGGGCTTGGGAAAGCCCAAAGTCCTCTCCCATATATGGTCTTGGCTGCATGAGCTCTCAGAAGGAAGATAAGAACACAAAGCACACAGCAGAGGCCCCCAGGGGCCCAGGGACTGGCCATGGGGGCCAGGCCTAGTGTTTGAACACCCAGACTGGGATCTTATGCATTGGGATCATCGGCACTTCTGGAAGAGTTTACATCTATGCTGGGCAGACAGGAATGGGCTGGGAGATGTCGGGCTATGGGAGGACCAGGTTTTACTTTATGTAAGGGAGGCCTTTCCATCCACCACTGCCATACCAGCGAGCTGACTTCTTAATGTGTCTGTGGGCCTCCACACATTCTGCTGCTCTCCTACCACCCACTCCTTGAAGTCTCTCTCTCTCTCTCTCTCTCTCTCTCTCTCTCTCTCTCTCTCTCTCTCACACACACACACACACACACACACACACACACACACTACTTTCTCTCTCTCTTACTTCTCTTCTTTGATTTCCCAGTCTTCTTGGCACTTTCCTCTTTGGAGACCTGCTCCTCCAGGGACTGCCCCTCCTGGTCACCAGTGTTACCAGCGCTGTTCAGGGCATTGGGCTCAGAGACAGGAAACAGGTAGTTGGGCAGAGTGGTGGCTGGCGCAGGGTCTGAGTCCGGAAGCATTTCAGAGGTGCTGACTACAAAAGAAAGGCCAGTGCAGGGTAGGAGCGTGCTCTCCCAGCGCTCCAGAGAAGGATGGGCTCCCAGGTAAAGAGCAGAGGTGCTGTTTTCCTGAGCCCCAAACACGGGAGACACCTGAAAATACCTCATGGATCTCACATCATGAGGAGAACAAACATCTGTAGACCTGTGAGCATGAACCAGCCCCATGACGGCTGCCACATTTTGAGCCCACTGCTGTTGGGAAGTTCCAGGCAACTCTCAGGATAAAGGGCCACCTTGACTTAGTCATTGACTTATTTTTACAACTGAAGGGGGCCTTAGAAACCCGTTAGCCCGATTCCTCTGCTTTCCTGATGAGGAAACTGAGACTCACACATGGCAGAGCACATGTCCAAGATCACAGTAAGATGATGCCTGGTACATGTAGCCACTCTGTAACTGTCTGTTGAATCCTGAGTGAATATCAGCGACAGAGTCGGGATCAGAAATGCTGGGACTCTTAACATGCAGCTTCAGGGCTTTCTTTCCCATGAGTCTCCCAGAGCCCCCTGTGGAGTCAGGGGAAATGCCTGAGGGAGTCCTGGAGGAAAAACCTGCCTTGGGGGCCTTCTGGGGAGGGATGGCCAACCTCCAATATCAGGAAAGGAATGAGAAGGTACGGAACCCTGTACATTATAAAATAAGCCACACCCTGCTTAGTCTTCCTCGGTGCCCAGCAAGAGAGGGGGGGGGCACCTGAAAAGTGACCCTGGCCAATAGTACTCAACCGTAAAAAGGAAGTAGATTCTGACACATGCAGGCCTTGAGGACATTCTGCTCAGTGAAATAATCCAGTAGTGCCTGGCTGGCGTGGTTCAGTGGTTGAGCGTCAACCTATGAACCAGGAGGTCACGGTTCAATTCTTGGTCAGGGCACATGCCTGGGCTGTGGGCTCAATCCCTGGTAGAAGTCATGCAGGAGGCAGCGAATCAATGGTTCTCTCTCATCACTGATGTTCTATCTCTCCCTCTCCCTCTGAAGTAAATAAAAATACATTTAAAAAAAAAAAAAGAAGAAAGAAAGAAGCCAGTCTCTGAAAGACAAATACTATAAAATTCCACTTATCTGAAGTACCTAGACTATTCAAATTCATAGACAGAAAGTAGAATGGTAGTTGCCAGGGGCTGGGGAGGAGGGAGAAGGGGGGGTTGTTTAATGGGTAGAAAGTTTCCGGTTTTCAAGGTGAAGAGTTCTGGAGATGGATGGTGATGATGGCTGCACAACAATACAAAGGAACATAATACCAGTGAGCAGTACACTGAAAAATGACTAAGGTCATCAATTTTATGTATATTTTATCACAATTTAAAAATTGGGGGAGCCCTAGCTGGCTTGGCTCAGTGGACAGAGCGTCAGCCTTTAGACTGAAGGGTCCCAGGTTCAATTTATGTCAAGAGCACATACCTCAGTTGTAGGCTTCATCCCTGGCCTGGGTTGGGGAGTGGGCATGAGGCAACCAATCCATGTGTCTCTCTCACATAAATGTTTATTTCTCTCTGTGACTTTTCCCTTCCCTTCCACTCTCTAAAATCAATGGAAAAATAGCCTCTGGTAAAAAAAGAAAAATATCCTGTGGAGCGGATCAACAACAACAACAAAATGGGGAGGGTCACCCTGGCCACCTTTCCTTGTCGGTGGTGCCCTCCAGCCCCCTCCCATTCCAGTCACAGCTCAAGAGTAAGTTTATGTGTATGTTGTTGGGAGTCGGTACATATGCCTGCATCCACATGTGTCTGAGAATCCAACACATGGACATGATCTTTTTATTGATTTATTTTCTGTTTTGTTTTTAGTTCTCACCGAATATATTTTTCCATTGATTTTTAGAGAGAGTAGAAGAGAGAGGGAAAGATAGAGAGAAACATCAATGTGGGAGAAACACATCAATTCATTGCCTCCTGCATGCACCCTGACCAGGGCCCATCCCAGGGAGGAGCCTGCAACCGAGCTACATGCCCTTGACCAAAATTGAACCCGGGACCCTTCGGTCTGCAGGTTGACACTCTATCCTGCAGGTTGAGGCAAACCAGCTAGGGCTAGATGTGATCTTTTTAAATACCATTTGTGTTGCCTTGAGTAAAGGCACCAAGGTTCATACTTACAAATCTGTTTCTCATCCAGGATGTTGTTGGGAGACTCAACATTGAGCAAGACTTCAGTGGTTGACATGGTTTGTGAGGTTGCTTCATTTTCATCTGGTTTCAGGTTCCACAATAAGGAGGGAGAAAAAAAGTTCTCTTAGGTACAAGATCGGGGGTACAGCTATAACCAGGGCCAGCCCAGAGAATAGTACAAAGGAGCCAAAGGATAGCCAGAGAGGGACCGTGCACCTCCCAGCCTAGTCCTCTACCTTCTCTCTACACCCACCCCAGCTATCTCCACTCCTAACTGTCCTCCTCCATCTCAAAAGATCATGAATCCACCTGGCCAGCATGGCTCAGTGGTTGAGCATCAACCTATGAACCAGGAGGTCACGGTTCAATTTTTGGTTCAGGGCACATGCCTGGGTTGCAGACTCAATCCCCATTAGGGGGTGTGCAGGAGGCAGTTGATCAATGGTTCTCTCTCGTCACTGATGTTTCTATCTCTCCCTCCCTTCCTCTCTGAAATCAATAAAAATGTTTGTTTGTTTTTTAAAGATCATGAATCTAGCCGAAACCAGCTTGGCTCAGTGGATAGAGCGTCGGCCTGCGGACCGAAAGGTCCCAGGTTCAATTCCGGTCAAAGGCATGTACCTTGGTTGTGGGCACATCCCCAGTGGGGGGGGTGCAAGAGGCAGCTGATTGATCATTCTCTCTCATCGATATTACTAATTCTCTGTCCCTCTCTCTTCCTCTCTGTAAAAAATCAATAAAATATATTTTTAAAAATTCATGAATCTATTTACATGACTTCCTCCTCTATGAAGTTGTACTACCTTTTGTTTGTCTTAACTGCCCCATCTAATTTCCAACTGTTGGGGCCTTGCCTTTGCTGTATGTGTCACTATAAGCCATTGTATGTGGGCTACTGTTCCCTGAAGACAGACCCCTTCATCCTCCACAAATTCCCTGCCCAGGAAGGGGACAGACCTGCCACCATGAAACTGCCCTCCAGTATCTGATCCTGTGTCATGCACAAGGTCCTGTCCGTTATGATGCCGTTGTGACCGTCTTCTAGCTCCAGTCCTGAATACAGATGCAGTAATTCGGGGTAGGGTACCTGCTCCACGATCACAGCGGGGAATACTGAGGGGTCTTCCAGCTGTGGAGAAGAGAGAGATCTGGTTCACGACCCACCCACCTCTTCCAGGAAGCCCTCCTACCAGAATCTGGCCCTTCTTGCAATTCCGAATTCTTAGAACCTTCAAGAGCCGTCCTTTGTATTAGACGACATTGCTTTGGGTCTGACCTCACTAGATGATGAATTTTTAATTAACAGCGATGGGCTAGCTCTGTACCACCTGCATTCAACCAAGGGCAGACAGCTTTCATTGGCTGTAGTTATGGGTTAACCCAAGGATTAGTCAATGGCAAGGACGAGAGGCTCTATATATAGTCAGGTGAAGGACTCAGCCTATAGTCAGGGTTGGGTACCCAGGGTATGCCTAAAGCACTTAGAACAAGGAATGGTGTAGGTTCTCATTGTTTTATGTATCAGGAGCTTCTAGGAGACTGGCAACATTTTATTTCTCAACCTGGGTGGTGAGTTCATGGGTGTTTATTTTATAGTTATTCTTTAAATAGATATACACATATGTATGTGATTTATGCACCTTTTTGTATTCTTGATACAAACATTTTTGCAATAAATGCAGGAAATGTTTTTCCTGCCCAGCTGGTGTAGCTCAGTAGTTGAGTGTTGACCTATGAACAAGGAGATCATGATTGGATTCCCAGTAAGGCACATGCCTGAGTTGTGGGCTCCGTTCCCAGTGTGGGGCATGAAGGAGGCAGCTGATCAATGATTCTCTTTCAATAAAACTATACTATTTAATAGAGAATATGCTAATTGACCTTCCTGCCATCACAAAGATGGCAGTGCCCACAGTCAATAAGGAGGGAATATGCTAATTGACTGCCCCGCCCTCAAAGAGGGCAGTGCCCACAGCCACAAGATGGCGGCGCCCAGTCCCCTCAGCCTTGCTGGGGGGCAGGCGCATGACAAGGCCGGGCCAACCCCCAGGCAGACCTGCCTTTGGAGTCCCTCAGTCTCCTCAGCCCCCAACTGCCCAGGGCCAGCCCAAGGCATAGGAAAGCCTACAACGGTAGCTGTCCAGCTGCCTAGGGCCGGCCTGAGGTGCAAGCAAGCCTTGGATGGCAGCTGCCTGAGGCTCAGGTAACCAGGGCTGGCCAAGGCTTGAACTGCTGGCTGCAGCAGCAGCAGAGATGTGATGGGGCGTTGCCTTCCCCTGATCTCTGCTCACCTCCCACCCCTAAGGGCTCCCTTACTGTGAGAGGGGGCAGGCCAGGCTGAGGGACCCCCCTATGCACTGGGCCTCTAGTATTTTAAAAAATTGTTTCCTAAAATTAGTGAGAGAAAAGAGGTGAGAAAGTAAACAGAGAGGGTGGAGCCTACGCTGGGGAGAAGAAAGGCACAAAGAAGGTGGTATTTTGAAGGAAGTGGGCGGAAGACAGGCATATGAGGTTTCTTTTAGGATTGGGGAGACCTGCCTATGTTATAAGTTGAGAAGGAAGGTCTGGGAGATCTGAAATATTTAAAGAGAAAGAGAGGAGTTGATCGATGGTTTGAGGGAAGCAGGAGAAAGGAGAGTAAGTACAGGGCCAGGATTACTCTTGGAAGGGACAGGGACACTTCTTTCTCCCAGGCCAGTGAAAAGGAAATAAGAACAGTGATGTTGCCGAAACCGGTTTGGCTCAGTGGATGGAGTGTCGGCCTGTGGACTGAGGGGTTCCAGGTTCGATTCCGGTCAAGGGCATGTACACTGGTTGCTGGCACATCCCCAGTGAGGGGTGTGCAGGAGGCAGCTGGTCGATGTTTCTCTCTCATCGATGTTTCTAGCTCTCTATCCCTCTCCCTTCCTCTCTGTAAAAAAATCAATAAAATATATTTTCGAAAAAACGAAGAACAGTGATGTTGTCACCCCTAGCTGGTTTGGCTCAGTGGATAGAGCATCGGCCTGCGGACTGAAGGGTCCCAAGTTCGATTCCAGTCAAGGACACATGCCTGTGGGGGGCATGTAAGAGGCAGCCGATCAATGATTCTCATCATTGATGTGCCTATTTTTCTCTCCCTCTCCCCTTCTCTCTAAAATCAATAAAAATATATATTAAAAAAAAAAGAACAGTGAAGTTGTCAACAAAATGGGGTAATGGAAGGAAACCGAGGGCTTCCTTGGCTTTGAGCTTCTCTGTGGATTGGAGGAGAATCTGTCTGCTGAGGGTGCAGGGGCTTGTGTGGGGCTGGAAGGTATGGTGTTGGGAGTGTCTGTGAACAGCCCCTATGAAGAACAGAAACAGCTGCTGATCAGACTAGAAACAAGTAAAAAATGACTTATACTATTGAGAACCCAGGTAAGGTTAGAGTTTCTTGCTTTCTCCTCTAGGCACTTCAGGGTTGTTCAATAAAACTGAGCAGCTTGTCGAAACTGGTTTTGCTCAGTGGTTAGAGCATCGACCTGTGGACTGAAAGGTCCCAGGTTCGATTCTGGTTAAGGGCAGCTGATGGATGATTCTCTCTCATCGATGTTTCTAACTCTCTATCCCTCTCTCTTCCTCTCTATTAAAAATCAATAAAATATATATATTTTTAAAAACTGAGCAACTTGGGTAAGGCCCCACTGGACAGAAAGTTTAATATGCTAAAAGTCCACTAGGGGGCAGCCTTTCGTAGTTAGCTAGAGATTGCACCAAGTTTTCCGTCTTCACAAGGATTTAGGATAGAGGGCATCAGAATTAGGCTGAGGTGCCCTTAGAGGTGATCCAGGTGGATATCCCCTTGGTGAAGATGGGGAGATGGCAGCCAAATACAGTAAGGGACAGGCCTTGCATAGGTACACTGAGGCCAAACTAGGATCAGAGCCCAGGTCTCCTGGCTCCTACTCTTCCATTCCTTCCATTGTAGCTGGCTGCCAGTGTGTGAAAAGAGGGGAGTGTATGGTGGTGAGTGTGCCAGGACACTATCTGATAGGTACAGCTAAATGTCCGGAAAACGGTTTAACACCCCTGCGGGGCAAGGTACGGAATGGTGGGGACTCGGGTGCCAGAAGTCTGTCCTATTTTCCAACTTCCTGTAACCTTAAGACTCCATTTCCAGTGTATCCTGAATTTTAAATCCAGGCTGAAAAGATGGTTATGGAAGAAGGGTTCATCAACCAGGCTCGAGCCGTGAGCCTGGAGATGCCAGGGGTTGGACTCTGCCCTGCGGTTCCAGCTGGCAGTGCTCACTCCTGCTATGTGGTTGTCCCAGCAACTTTGTCACTGTGACCCTGGGGTGACGGGAAGTGGCTGAAAAAGTATAGGCAGGTCGTTCGCAGCTGTGCATGCGGCACACGTTGCTGACCGGCCTACAGCTCAGCTGGTGTACTTAGCAGCTGCTTGGCTGACTTAGTGACTGCATGCGCCCTGTAATTGCACGTGGGCAACCAGCTCGCCAAATGACCACCCCATGGTTACTGACTGGCTTCATGAGTGGCTAGCTGGCACAGTCTGGCTGACAAGCAGGCCTAGTGCCCTGAACCTAGTAGGTGCTTGATCAATATTTGCTGACTGGCTAGCCGGCCAACCGGCTGGCGCGCTGGCTGTCTGGCTGCCTGTCTGTGTCTATCTGATCATCTGCACTGGCTGACCAGGCTCCGTGCTCCGTGCTCCGGGGGCTGTACCTGGTGTATATCATCCATCCCGTTGCTTGCAAACTCGAAGATCAGGTCACTGGGCTGCAGGGTTATAGCCATGCTGTTCTCTCAGCACTGACAGCAGAATCCGCAGGGCCCTCTGGAGCCGCGGGGTTTTCTTGACGAAGAGATGCTGCTCAGGTACCTTGGAGCTTAGAGCCTCCACTCAAGCCGCAGGAGAATAGAGGTGTAGAGAGCTGGAGGACGTGGTGGCCTAAGCCAAGTTCAAGGCTGCATGCTGGGCTGGGCCGACCGCAGGAGTGACCTAGAGAGAAGGGAGAGGTGGGGCACTGAATAAATCACCTTCCTTGAGCTCTGTTCCCAGGGTGGACTGCCAGGAGGGGATGGCTAAAGGAGGAAGGAGAAGAAGGGGGAAGGAGAAGAAAGGAGGCAGGTAATAGAAGAGGGGGAAGGAAGGTAACTGAGTCACCTCCAGTGGGAAGTGGCCAAGCCTCAGTGCCCATCTAAGTCACCAGCATTTGCACCTGAGCTGGCCCTGACGTATGGCAGCCTCCCTCCCTCCCCTCCCCCTCCTCTGGAGGTGACAGAGAGAGGGACTTTGATCTCTCTCCACCCTGCACATTAGTCCCCAGGGTGTGGCCACAGGGAAAACCAGGGCTTTGTGGCTGGGGCGATGGCATGAAAAAGGCCAAAAATTCCTTTGGCTCAGGGAAGACTCCCGTGCGAGGGGTGTGGGTCAGGACACGTGGGTGTAAAGGGTGCTCTTCCAGATGCTGCCTGACTCAGTTTACCTTGGTAGTGGAGGTCGCTTAGCTCTGAAGGTCAGAATCTACAGAGGAAGAAATGTCTTGCTGTGAGGTTTGTGTAGTTCGCCTGACCCTACTTGTTGGGATGGGACTCAGACATGGCCATGCCTCCAAAGAGCCTGGGGACAGGGACAGGTGGGCCCCAAGATCTGCCCACTCATCACCACTCCACCACCACCCCGATAGCCTCTGTGCTGGCTGTGGGCTTGCATTCTTGGTTCAGCTTTGCTTTCAGTTTCAAGACTGAACTGTCACCCTGGGAACTTGTGAGGAGAGCCCTGGCTGGGGGAGGGGCCCGAAGAACCTGGCCCATCCTCCAGGGCCGGTTCAGGGGCCCTCCCTTTCCAGGAAATCTGTCTGCTGTAGTTTGCACGTCTCTCCTCCCCTTGAATGCCTCACAGTCTGTACCTCAGGCATTCACATGGCACCAGGGCCTCCAATTGTTTCCTGTGCTTGCTATGCTTGTGCTTGCTGTCTGCGGTCCCACCCAGGCCTGCCTTTCAGAGGCTCGCTCCTGCTCCCACGTCCCTCCTGTCCATCTGCGCTGCTCCGCCAGACCCAAACAGTTGGGCTTCTCCACTTGCAGGGGCTACATCTCTGGTCCTCAGTGTTCTGTTTTTAGTGACATTAGTGTGTGCGTGTGCTGGGTCTAAAACAGCCTGGTTCAGCCATGAGCTGGGGCCACGCACCATAGCGGGAGTGACTCCTTTGGCAGTGCCAAGGATGGCAAAACCTTCTCCTGGAAGGAAAGAAATGAGGAACTTCAAAGAGGGGCAAAGGGGAGGGAAGGGTGGGGGACCACGGATGACCTCCCTGATGACAGCTCTCCCCCACAGGAGACACCCAAGCCTCTCCCACTTCCTTTCCGTTAGCCCACAGGGCTGGCTCCGCCTTCTCCCCACCCCCAGGCTCATCCCCACACCTTTTCACCCCCCCAAAAAAAAGACTGAGAAGTCACTCAACTCAAGCCGTCAGGTTTGCGTTTCCCTTTGGGTGCACGAGAGACTGGTGCCTGTCAGGGTCCCTGTTTGAGCTTCACCCCTTCCTCTCCCCACCACCCCCACCAGGTCCTGTACGTGACCCAGTCTCCTGAGGCCCGAGAAGCCTCCCAGGGCCATTTATGCTTGGAAGGTCTGTCTCCCCCACCCAGAGTGCCCAAGGCTCACATTCAGCAGCTCCAGGCCTCCCAAAGGCCAGGCCGGGCTGTCTGTCCCTAGGAAGCATTCTCAAACTAATCAAATGAAAGGCTATCACTTTCACCTAATCCCACTTTGTCTAAACACGAAACTTCTGAAACTCCTGTGTCTGGTCCCCCCCTCTCCCTCCCCCGCCAAGGGTCTGAGGCCTCCCCATCGAAGTGGGCCTTCAGGTTGGCTCATCGCTTTGGCTTCTCTTCACGTTTGCCAGCTCAATGCCCCTTATCTCAGCCTGTGGAACCTCTGTGTGCCTTCCTTACCGCCCCCATTAGTCAGTGGCTTCCTTGAAGGCGGGAACCACTGTGTTGATCATTGATGAAACCTTAGCAGCCTTGCACTTTGCTTGGCATGGAGCAGACACTCAATTCTTGTTTGTGGAATGAATGAATGAATGAACGAACGAACGAATGAATGGTACTGGTCATTCCGTACAAGTGAGCTGTGTTTTCTGGGCAATAAAATATATCTGTTTGTACACTGGGTGTGGTGTGAGTGTCACCCTCTGGCTTACATAAGAATGAGAGGAATGTGTGCACTCTGTGTGTATAATATCTGTATATTTTTACATTGTCATTTACAACAAGAGTTGGCTGCATGTGTGCAAACATGGTAGATATGTATGTGTGCAGGGCATGCTCATGTGTCCTAACTGTGGGGACATGTGGGTGAGAACCTCTGTGTGTCAAAAGCAGGACAGCAAGCTCAGTCATCAGGGGGGTGAGCTGCTACCACCACTACCCCCTATGCTTTCCAGGGAGAGAATATCTGCAGAATATGTAGTGGACCCTAAGGTCCACTCCGCTAGGGAGGAGGTGGGAGAGGGGAGGCAGCACAAGGAGGGGAGGTTTGAAATAAAAGAGACTAATCCAGTTGTCTCCCTTGTGTCCAGATGTCCAAGTCTCTAAATCAAGGACTTGGTGGGTACAGATCCCGCTGGCCCAGGCCTGTGAGTATTGGGAGGCCACACACATCACCCACAGCTCATACGGGTGTCTCCTTCCGCCTGAGCTCCAGCCTGAAGCCGAGGTGAAGGGTGTAGGGGGCAAGCAGCTGCCCCATTTGTCCTATTCTGTTGGCCGAGGCTAAAATCACTCTCCCCCGACCCCCACCAACCGTGGAACCTTCCAGTCCAGAAACTCTCGTTTCTCTCCCCTTAGATGTTTGAGGATTTGAAAGTGAGAGGTGGAGAGGGGCTCATTTGCATGCTCGCTCACTCTCCCCGGCAGAGGCCTGAACCGCCTCCCCAAGTCCCTCAAAATAACCTCCCTCTCCCAGGAACCTGAAACCAAAGAAGCCACCACCACAGAAGGCCCGCCCTGCTGGAGACCAGAGAGGCCCACACCGGGGGCTCCCTTCACCAGGGTCCTCAGAGAGGCACTGAGACACTGAGATGCAGATTCAACGGACCAGAGCCCTGGGCACTGTCTTGCCAGCGAGTAAGGGGCTAGGGGGGTGCATAGAGGCACTTAACTCAAGGAATTGAGGCACCCGGGAACCCTTAGTAACCGGTGGTGAATTCCCCCCACCCCGCCCAGTCACTGTTTCAGTCGATTCAGCTCGCAGGGTGTTAAGAGCTCCACCCCCTTGACTCCCTTGGAGGCCACTGCAGGATCCCTGGCTCCCAGGGCCCGTCCTGCTTAGGCTAAAAGCAAAGCCTCTGTGAGAGCCCATGGCCCTGGGCGCTGCGTGGGAGTGTGTGAGCCACAAGAGGGAGGGCGCCCAAGGCTCAGGCCTGCAAAGGCACACCTCTGGCTCTCTGTGGTTCTGACTGCATTTCAAAACCAAAATAGCAAAATAGAAGTGGTTTGGGCCGCTCCTGCGTCACCACAACTGCGCAGCGGTACAGACGTAAAAGACCCTTTCTGGGCCTGTCACTGGCCCACGTCAAGCAGAGCTCAGCACCCACCCATCTGGGCCTCCTCCACAGGAAACGGCCCCTCTGTGAAAGCCACGTCTACAGTCTCCGTGGAGCGAGTTTAAATCTAACCCCGTTCAGCCGAGCCGATGGCTCTCACCGAACCGCTAGCAACATCCGTGGCATTTTCACACACGCCAGGAAACATGGGGGCCAGATGGTCAGCCGGGCCACAAAGCAGACTTCTCCTCCAGCTCCTTGTCCCCTCTGAGCCAGCTCTCGCTCCTAAAAATTCCCGGTCCTCCATGAAACCTTTCTGGAATTCTCTGGAAAGGAAGTGACAATTTCCTTCATGCCATTTCCCACTGCCTCAGCACTCCTCCCCCACAACCACAAACAAAATGGAAACTACCCCAGGAACAGCTGTACCCTCCACTGAAAAACAGCACCCTCCCAGTAGTCATCCAGCAGCGAATTTGCATGCTGTATCACATGACAAGGGGCACATATTTAAGAGACGGAGGGCCAGAGTCAGGGATCCGATCTCTAGCCATGGATGGAGGAGAGGTAACCCTTCCCCGGGGTTCCCACACGGCCTTGACTCACATCGCCATCTGAACTCTCCCTTTTTAAAAAATATATTTTTACAGAGAGGAAGAGAGAGGGATAGAAAGTTAGAAACATTGATGAGAGAGAATCATCGACCAGCTGCCTCTTGCACACCCCCTACTGGGGATGTGCCCGCAACCAATGTACATGCCCTTGACCAGAATCAAACCTGGGACCTTTCAGTCCACAGGCCGAGGCTCTATCCACTGAGCCAAACCGGTTTTGGCTGAACTCTCCTTGAGCAAATGCCCAGCGAAGGGGCCTGAGCCACAGCTATTTTGTCAGCTCCTTCTCCTCTTTTCCTTTCCTTCCACCACCCCCTACGTTTGAGATGAAATCAGGAAGAGGGAGAGAAAAAAATGTTTTGCAAGCTCTGTTGGTTGGGGTTTCTCTGTGCTTATTTATAAGAAACCCAGTTTCCGTCCTTGACCCTCGGTCACTGCCTGCTCCCAGCGTAGGGCTTGTGACAACTCTGGTGGTGAGGCAGACCCGGAGCCCTTTCTCAGCTCCAGTTTTGTCCCTACCTTCCCGGGCCCTAAGCTGTCCCAGGGGAGGAGCATTTAGGGCTGCAGGAGGTAGCAGACCACGGGTAGAGAGATGTCCCCTGATCTTTCTCAAGGACATCCAGCAGCC